TATATGACATTTGATATTCGCCAACACTAAGGACAACCTTGATCCAACACCTACAAGGAGCAATAGTCTCTCGTTACGTTTCGGACATAGTCTTCCTTCATCTTGCGTTTTTTTTTTCCCTATTTCACAATGCAGACTTACTTACGCGATCCCTCAAGGAACAGTCGACATCAACCAAACATAGGTGGCCAATGTGCCAACGGAACTTGTAGAGGAGGCCCGCACGGCGGTGGCCGTAGAAAATTAATCCTATGCTTCGACGGTACCGGTAACAAGTTTCGTGGAGATGACAGCGACAGCAATATTCTCAAAATTTTCCGCATGCTCGACAGCAACGCGAATGATCAGTGTGAGATTTTAACATTATTCATACCATCGTCTTTGGGATGACGAGGCTGACAGAGGTTATAGATCACTACTATCAACGTGAGTGCTGCCACCTTTGCAATTGTACTTCATGTCACTAAGAACATGTATTCCTACAGCCGGCATAGGGACATATGTTGTTTCAGAAAATCTAACGCATAATGGTGTCAGAGCCAAATGCAAGTCCTGGTACCAGATGGCCAAGGACTCTGCAGTCGGCTCGTCATTCGACCAGCACGTTGTGGGCGGATACAGATTCTTGATGAGGTACTACTCGCCAGGAGACGATATTTACATGTTTGGCTTCTCTCGAGGTGCCTATGTTGCTAGATTCCTGGCTGAGATGTTGGACTTTGTCGGTCTACTTGCCCATGGCAACGAGGAAATGGTCGCTTTCGCGTGGAGCTCATTCTCCCAATGGCAGTGCAGAAGAACGAACTCAACACCGGAGGGCAAAGAAGACAGAGAGAAGATGTATCAGTTTCTCAAAGGCTTCAGGGAAACATTCTCGCGACCGATAAGACGAATCCGCTTTTTGGGATTGTTCGACACCGTGAACAGCGTGCCGCGCTTCGAAACGGCATGGATGCAGCGTAGCAAGTTCCCGTACACTGCGCGAAGCTCTGCGAAAGTCATCAGGCATGCTGTCAGTATTGATGAACGACGCGCCAAATTTCGCCAAGATCTCATTTATCAAGAGCCCAAGAAGTCTCGGAGGAAAACTGCAGCCAAGCGCCTGATGGAACACCACCACCCCCTGAACGAAAAAGTGCAGGAGTTCCAAGAAAAGTATCGTCCAGGTCGGCGATCAACACTTGCACCTGACGACGCCGTGGCGAAAGAAGACCGTGGTAGGCGCCGAGTGCATCCACAAGAGGAAGACGCAGACCATCCGGCTCCTTTCCGTAGTCGCTCCAGGTCCAGATCTCGGGCAACCGAACGAACAGGCAACGCGTATACGGATCACGATGCCTCTTCCATCAACTCCAAGCCACCCATAGAAGACCTCACCTACGACTCGGATGACGACGAGGCCGACCAGGATGTCGATGAGGTGTGGTTCTCCGGAGGGCACGGTGATATAGGCGGAGGATGGGACGCCGTTTCTGGCCAAAAGAATGCCAGTCACATACCCCTCGTGTGGATGGTGAGAGAAGCCATGCGAGCAGGCTTGACATTTGATCTCGACCAGCTCGAGTACCTCGGCTGTGTTGAATCAGTAGCCGGAGCAGACACGCGAACTGCAAGACAGTCGTCGGCTACCATGCCGAACGAAGCCATCGCAGTCCCGGAAATCCACGTCGATGCGCCTTCCCCCACGATCGACTTCCAGCCCGCATCGCCCACCGCTTCCGCGACAGAAAACGTGGTAAACTCGGACACATCAACGCACACCTGCACGGCCTTGCCATTCAACGTGATGATGCAGTCGGCGCACGAAGCCAAGATACACGACTCGCTTGACTTCACATGTGGCATGCATCGTGCCAGCGTCTTCATGTGGCGGGTGATGGAGTATCTACCCTTTAGAAGACTCGACCTTAGGCCAGACGGCAGTTGGAAACCAATCAGATGGCCACTGCCAAGGGGAGAAGTCCGGGACGTTCCGGACAAAGTCAGAATCCATGGAAGCGTGTTACGACGGATGGAACGCGACGAGAAGTACAGGCCTGGAAACTTGATTGTGGGTGGAGGTGGCAGAGGTTGTCGAGTAGCGCCGAAAGAGTACGGAATTGGGCACTGGAAGTGTGTCAAAGGCAGCGGTGATATCATTGACGAAATTTGGGAACGAGAGTGGGAGACTGAGCAAAAGCATCATTGAAAATTGTAATTGTGCAAAGGTCGAAGTTGGGATCTCCAGAAGAGAAGTAAAGAGGAAAAGAAATACACGCTGGATCAACACTTGTAGCGCCCAAGACTCCTGCTCGAAGTGCATTTGGGGGGACCTGTTTGACAGTCACGCCAGACATTTGGAAAAGTCATTCGGTCCAAGAGCGACCTTGTTGCAATGAGATCGACTGCTTGACCTCAGTCTGTTGAGCACATCGACGAAGTGCCTCAAGCCCAGGCGAGAAGGATACAGTAAGCAGTGACAGAAAGACAGAGAAGTGAACTACATGACTGGTCTGTTCTTCGCAAAACTTGTCGTTGCAGTCTGGCAGGGTTGCGGAGTGAACACAAAACACACACCTTTTGGTTTGTGTTCCTGGCTTCGTTTGGGCCGGGCCGGGCCGGACGTGGCGGGGTAGAGTTAGCCCGCTCGGAATGCTTGCGCGAGGCCTTTTCGATACTGATTAGCAAGCAAGACAAGTCGACTCGGTCGGGTTCGAAAACATGCTCAACGTTATTCTGCTTAGTGGCCGGTCGTCTTCCCTGCTGAACCTGGATCTGACTGCTGGTCTAAGATTGTCATGGTGCTGCCGGGAATAGGCTCCCTTTAGAGTTCCACATCCCGTTGATCCACCCTCACATAACACTCACACGCACACTATTTTTGTGGTGGCTTTACGAGACTTGAGTGCTTCTTTTGATAAGCACGCCATAGCATAGCTTTATGACGAATGTCGAATCCATCTCTTGCATTTGCAGAGTGCGAGGTGTCTTCGTCCATTTAAGCTTCTGGGGCCGCTGTCTGCATCCAAGTCCCGATTGGTTCTTGTCTCATTTAATATTAGATCTGCCATCTGAGGCTCGTGAAGTAATTGTATGTCCCATATTTTGAAGTGTATCTCTACATCGGTCTTTTCATTCCTTTACTGAACATGTCTAGTGGACTGGAATCCTTTCACCTTGATGGATTCTGTCCTACCAGACTGCAGCCGTTTGGATTTCTAAGCATCGACTCCCAGTGCCACTAGAACCAAGGATCTGCAACAGCTCGGATGCAACTAGCCCCGAGGCACATGCACAAGGACGGGAATGCCAGTGGCTCTCTTCTTCGGCCCCCGCAGCCCGCTGCCGCGACTCGGGCTGGGTGAGGCAAGCCTGACCAAGTGAGACGAGGAGGAGGCATTTGTCAGCGGGCGCTCCGTTTCTGGGCCCCGCCGCCCTTTCTGCGCTGTTCGCTATGGCATTTCTCTGGCCCGAGTTCCGAAGCAAGGTAGCACCTCTCGGCTTGGGTATCCGTATAGAGACCGGCCTTGTAAGTCGTTCACCACTCACGATGGGGGGCAGGCCATCAGCTAACTTTGCCTATCAAGCGGAAGACCGAGAGACAAGCCCCGGCATGGGCCGCGCGAGTGCCCACGCACAAACGCAAGGGGCCGCAAATGGGCCAGGGTTTCAATAGCATTATACGAGGGCTGCAGAGTGAGATCGGTATGTGAGTGAGCATGACGGTTGCTGTGTTGAGTTCCCCAGTACTACAACACTCCAAATCGCCCCGGCGCATTAGTCAAGCAGACCCGCTCGTCGAACTGGACAGAAACGCCCGATCACCAGCTACCTGCACCAGGCCAGGGGCTTTGGGATCAGCTCCAAACGCTTCATGCTTCCACCGCTCTTTCGTGGGACTGCTTTCTGCTGTCAAGCGGGTAGCTTGCTGAGGACATATAAAGCTTCTGGCCCCTCACAGACCTAGTGGCATTCTTGCACGTCTTGAAGAACCACAAACACAGCCCTTTTCCAACCGTCAACATTACCATTCATCCACCAACAACCGCAAACATGGCCTACACTCTGTACGACGCCTCCGTCCCCCTCCTCCTTGCGGGTCTCAACTCGCTCCTCAACATCATCACCAAGGCCGAGGAGTACGCCAAGGAAAAGTCCATTGACGCCAAGGAGATTCTCGACTGGAAGCTGGCGGACGACATGCTGCCCTTCAGCTTCCAGTTCTTCGTCGCGGCCGACTGCGCCATCAAGATCGTCGCCCGCGTCCAGGGCACCGAGCCCGAGGCCCTGGGCAGGGAGTTTGCCAGCCTTGACGACCTGCGCCAGCGCGTCGAGCACACCATCTCCATCGTCAAGGCCGCCGACCCCAAGACATTCGAGGCTCGCACCGATGCCCTCGTACCCCTTGGACTCGGCTTCGGCAAGGGCGAGGTGCAGATCAAGGCCCGCGATTACCTTGTCGCCTACGGAATGCCCAACTTCTTCTTCCACATCTCCACAGCCTACGGCATCCTCCGCGCCAAGGGCGTTCAGATCGGCAAGGGCGACTACCTTACCCCCTTTGCGGCTCCTATCACGCAGCAGCAGTAAGGCGCGATTATGCCCCATTGATGAGTTTGGAAGGCTGGATGACAGGAGGATCGGACAATGATGAGGCGAGAGAAACATGTTGAGTTGCCACGAGATGGCGTTCAAGGGACTCTGGAATCAGGCATATCATGGGTAAACAAAAGTTGATGAATTGAACGAGCTTGATGACTATTCTTGACACATTGATACGTTACATGTGTAATCATTGTCTGGTGAATTTGATGAGCTTAATGTCAATTCACCTTTGGTACAGTGACTTGAGTTTAATGAACCCCTCATTTCCATGGCGAAGGACATTTGTGCTCGTTAGGTAAGGTGGCCGTTCACCAATTAAAATCCCCAATTCGAGCTTGCCAGTACCCCGCCCCCACCATCGCTCGTCTCAGCGGGTCTGCAATCTTTTTCGACCCCTCCACGACGCGACCGGCTCTCATCTTCTCGCCCACTCATCTGGTGTCTTGTCTCACCTTACCCAGGCCTCACTTACACTACTAGTCTCTCTCACTCTCACTGACGCTGTCACTCTCTTTCAAACGCCCGCCATCTTACCTCATTCCGACACCTTGTATGTGTCTCCTTTGCCGCCGTCAACTCACACCATTGATTACTGTGATATAACCTCATCATCTTCCGGATGTCTGTACCACTTGGCACCGCAGGTATGGCAGAAGTCAGAGAAGCTGAGGCTCTGGCCACCCCCGAACTCTGGAATCAGCGTTATACCAAGTCGGATGGCTCACATCCGACCCACGAATGGCTTCGCACATTCGAAGCCCTCGAGCCGTTCTTTGAGAAGCATCTTTTTTCCCAGCGTCGCCCTGACACCTCCCCGCGTATCATGCACCTCGGATCTGGGGATAGCGTATGGATCTTGTGCCCCTCGCCTCCAAGTTCACTTTACTTTCTCGCACTTGTTGTCACTGCCTCACTCTCTCACCCCGGCGTTCGTATTTGTTTCGTCTTGATCAGTCATAACATACATTCGTCTTGCCTCTGGCTCAAAGTAATGACTCACCATTTCCACTATAGACCATCCCCGCCGACCTCTCGGCACGCGGTTATAAGAACCAGCTCTGCCTGGACTTCTCCACTGTCGTCATCGATCTCATGAGACAGCAACACGCCGAATTAGGCGGCATCGAGTGGAAATGGGCCGACATCCGCGACATGCCTGACGCCGCGCCGACTGCCTCTGTCGACGTCGCTTTTGACAAGAGCACCCTCGACGCCATGATCCACGGGAGTCCGTGGTCGCCTCCAGACGACGTTCGTGAGAATGCGGCCAAGTACCTCGGCGAGGTCCACCGCGCCCTCAAGGACGACGGGGTGTTTCTGTGCATCACCTACAGACAGCCTCATTTCATGCGGCCGCTGCTGAATGCCGACAATCTTTGGGACATGGACATGGATATCCTTTCTGGCGGGGAGAGTGTGTTCGACTACTATGGTTTCATACTTAAGAGAAGAAAAAATAGGAACGAGGCATAGGTAGGTCTAGAGGAAAGATATCGAACGTAAAAGTTTGTGTGTGATTCAAGTGATATATCGAAATGTTTGCTCACTTCTTGTCATCAGCGTAACTATTGAGCCAAGACTTGCACCAAATCAGGTACCCCTTTCCCTTAGGTTTTCAAAACCCCAGGACTTCGTTTGCTCTCTGAATCAGATCCCTCTCTCCATGACCATCTCCAGCGCCGATCAACTTTTCCAATCCCATCGCCCTCCTCGCTTCCACCCCCTGGATGGCGTCCTCTCCAGGCCTCCCCACGTGCTCGCTCTCTCCCTTTCCTCCGGGGAAATCGGGCCCTGGCAGCCCTTCAAGAAACGCCTCCCTCTGCCTCGCCAAGTACCCGACATTCAGATCCGTGGCCGGACACACAGGAATGTACATGACACTCGAGTCGCTCTGTCCCTGGTGAACCTTATCGACGGCGTGAATCTGGTCCGCGTGCCAAACGACAAAGTCCCCGGGCTTGATGCGCGGAATATGAACCATTGTTCCGTCAAGCTCCAAATGCGGGTGCAGAGCCTCACTAAGCTCCTGTCCGTGTCCCGGCGTCGCTCCCTGTAGCTCGCTACTCATCGCCTCGCCGCCCGTAAACGCCCAGTTCTCCTCTCGCAAGAACTCCTCCCCTCCTCCCGCGACGCTCCCGCTGCCACTCGCAGTGAGTTCTGTGCGGGGCTGGAAGAACGGCCGGAGGAGAAAGTAAGCGGTCGAGAGCTGCACCAGCGGATTCACCAACAGAGTCCCCTCCCTCGGCCCACAGGAGCTCAGGCTCAGCCAGCCCTGGAACATGCGGAACATGCTGCATGCGCCGGCACCGTTGTACAAGTCTTGTACGGCGTCGACGCGGGCGCTGACGTCCCACGGGTCGTACTTCTCCCACTCGCCTCGGAAGACGGCATCATAGGTCCCCGCCTTGCCGTATCCTTCGCGTTCCCATCTCTCTACAGACCCGCCGTCAATGTGTGGGCCGAGGGCGAACGTTGCGTCACCGGGCTGACGGATGCGAAGACGGTCGGCGTAGGTCAGAGGTTGCAGCGAGATGGCGGCCGAGGGTGACTTGTTCCAGAGGGAGCCCATGAGGGTCGACTGGACTTTGAGCATATTGGGATGCGAGCGGGCTTTGAGTTGCGGGTGAGACCAGTAGAGCTCGTAGACTTGAGGGTTATCCGCAGGGAAAGCTTTTGTGCGGAGTTGGTCAGTTATGTATTCATTTGCAGAAAAGTAGACATGGCCGTAGATAGCTTACCTTTTGTGGACGGGTTCTTCCTGACATACTCCTCAACCTCCTCTTTGTACCCTCTAGCCTCCTTCTCATCAACGACGCCACGAATTACAGCGGCGCCACGCTTGCGAATATCGCCCTTTAACCTCTCAATATCACCCTCCAAGTCCTTAAACTCAACGCTCGGGATGATGGCGGGTCCCTTTTCCCGGATCACTTGGTTCTCCTCCCGCAAAGCACGCAGAAGCCGGCCCCAGGACGCGACGACAGCGTCCTCGTGATCCGCGATGAGATCCCCCTTAAGCACACGGAAGCGATCCGGGAGTGCTTCACGGGCGGTGCCCGAAAGAGAGACGAAGACGGAAGAGATGTCGCCTTCCTTTTTTGGCGCTGCGGCGCCCATCATGACTGTTCGGCATTGTGATGATGGGAGTGATGGGAGGCGAAGAAGGGTGTGTGTCCGAACCCGAGAGAGGCTGTGGATGCGGAACATTTTGGTAGTTTGTTAATGATGTAGATGTAGAGGCTTTTTCTCAAGACGAGTCTTGAATTAGAGTCTTTTTGAATATGAAAGAACCAAGGAAGCGAATCTCATGTGGTGAAGTCGTCTAGGGCGAGAGAGGAAGTTAGAGTGTTGTAAATGAAATGCACTCTCACTTTACAACATTGACCAAGTGTGCTACTCGTCAAATGTTGACTCCGTCGACCTCGCCAATGATGATGCACTCGAGAATCATCAACAGAAGCAGGTCCGATTGACCTCTTATACCAGATGAGAAGGGCCCATTGCCAACGGCCTCTTCGTAGCATCGTACTCGACGTGGTCGGCCTTCCGAAATTGGTAATGCCGCAAGACCAAGTTCATAAATCAAGAGAAAGACCGTGTAATTAGCTTGCATTCCCATCCGTAAATCACACCCCGGATCCCCCGCGTTCGAGGCGGACATCCATAACGAGCAAGATCAATGCGGAGCCCCGCTCTGCCCCGCTCCAGTCAGTCTTGAGGTGCATAATGACATGCATCGTCCCGTTGTGCTCTCCGCGTGTGTCCGAGTTCGCAATCGCAGCCAGTAGGCATTCTTCAATTACGGGACGGACACCTGAAGGCTGAGCTAAGGTGGGTGGCTAGACTTGCAAGTGAAGGCGGAGGGAACCCCGCAAACAGTGCGGGACTGGGGCGGAGAGTCGGAGGAGCCCCACGGTAAATGGCAAGTCCGAAGCCGCAGGCCCGACATACACGAGAAGCCAAACATTGGCCTCTGTTGAACTCTTCTTCGGGATCTTTTTGCAGTTTGTTAGTCAGACCGTCAGCCACACAACACATTACAACTAGGCACGATACAATATAGATGACACAAGGGTGTTCTGTAAGGCAAGGCTGACAAACAACGCCAGACAGAGAGGCTTTGGTATTAGACTGTTGTACCCAAAAGGCGGCCTGTCCGCAAAACTCCTCCAGATCCCCAGCAAAGGCCGTTCGTCGCTGAAATTACAGATGCTGAGAAGAATGGAAATACAAAACAAAGGAAATGTTGGCCCACACATTCCGGCTCTGCTGTTGGTACAAGAGTTTGAGCGAATACAAATGAAACCTCCGCAACGCAATCCCAGCCAACTCTACTTTTTCAGCTGTCCCCCAACTGTCCGTTGGCTCTGCGTATGCGGTTCACCTCCGTCCTTAAATCACGGTTTTCCGTCTCGAGTCCACCCAGCCGCTGTCTTGCCGCATTACGATCCTGCGAGCGGCCTTCGCGCTCAGCCTTTAGCTTATTCTCGAGGTCGCGAAGCTTGAAGATCCAGCGATTGTCTGCTGGGTCTCTCTCCGCCAACGTGGCTTCAAATGGGTTGTGATTAGTTGACCCAGGCGTCGTCACCGTATGGCTGGAAACGCTGCGCGTCATCGTCGATGTTCTCTCGCCCTTGCGAGGCTTCCTCTCTCGCTCTCGAGGACCCGTGGGAATGGACGGCGACGGACTTCCACTGCCGGGCTCAGTGATAACCGCGCTGGGATCATTGGTTGCTGAATAGGCAGCCCGACTCCTGACGTCCTGAGCGGTTCGCAGTGTCGCATTCTCGACCTTGAGTTGGCGATAGGCGTCCTCGAGGCGCTCCATTCTAGCCTGCTCATAGGATCCGAGGGATCCCGATGCTATGCTGTTGCGTACAATCGTCTCCAGCCGCTCGAGTTTCTTAGTTCGGATCTCGAGGTTGTTCTCGAGGCTCTGATACTCGCGCCACAAGTCTCGTTCCACGCCTTTAACGCGGGACGAGAACCCACCCACCATGGTCTCGATCATTTTGATAGCGCCCAGCAAGTTTTTGCTGAAGCCGGGCAGCATAGTAGCCACAGCCTCCAGGGAAGGCAGCGCGCGCCCATTGATGAGACTATTATCGTGCGCCCAGTCAGTGCCACAAAGGGCCGAGAGTCGGGTCCACAGTACAAGCAGCAAGTTGTTGCGCTCAGTGAGCTGGTCTCGGAACGTCGCCTCGAGATGCGAAATCTTCTTCTTGTCTTGGGTCCGCGAAGATTCAAGCTCCGAGATGCGTAGGTCCTGTGTGCTGACAGTTCTCGACACGTGCAAGTGTGTCTTCTGAAACGTCTCGAACTGGTTCTTCGTCGTCCGATGCGCCTGCCTCTCTTTTTCGAGCTCTCCCCCAAGTTTGCGAGACTCCAAGCCGTGAGACTCAAGCAAGGCGTCGCGCTGCTTAATAATACGATCCTTCTCAACGAGCGAGGCTTTGGTGGTGTCCAGCTCGCGAACGGTGTTCTCCAACTCGCGCTGAAGCTTTGCAATCGACTATGCTTGTTAGTACCTGTGTCTCTGATGGCGTTTGCTGGCTAGCTTACCTTGAGAAGGCTGGATCGTGTCCCGTTAAGATCACCCAGTGCCTCTCTAAGATTATTCTCCAACTCCATGAGCCGCTCTTTCCATTCGGTTGCCTCAACTTCGCGTGAGGTGAGACTCTTACGCAACCTCCGGGCTTCGTCTTTGGCAGCCGACATCTCACGGTTGAGCTCGTTGACAAACTGCGTTACCTCTTCCTTCTCCTGATTGGAGACCATCTCGTGTTGGCGGCGCTCGGTAACAAGACGCTGCTCCAGCTCCTTGATCCTGTCGCGTTCGTCGCGCAAACTCTGCTCGGTATTAGCGAGAGCTGCCTCGAGGTCGCCGATGCGGATCTTGTCGCCTTCCTGCTCCTCGCGCAAGAAGGCAATCTCGCCCTGGCTGGATTCTTGTTGTACGCTGAGCCGCTGCGCCTTGTCGTTGGACTCGAGCAGCTTAGATTCGAGCTCCTCTGACTCCTTGTTGGCTTCTGCGAGTTCTTGCTCTAGTTGCTTGATTCTGCCAATCTTGGCTGCTTGTTCGTCCTCCAATCCCAGTAGCGCTTCGCTCATCTTGCGCATTTCCTCCTGCAAGGCATCGAAGTTTTCTGTGCGGTCATTGAGCTCAAACTGCAGCCTTTGTATCTCGTCGTTTCGCTGGTCGGCCTCGCCCTCCAATGCATCGATTTCCTCCTGGGCTTCTTTCCGCAGCGATTCAAATTCCGTCTCCATATCCGCCTGCTCCCTGAGTGCTTCGTCCCTCTCGGCCTGCAAAGCCACGAGATCGTTCATGGCATTGTCGAGATCTTCCTGGAGTGTGACGGCGATTTCCTCAGCTTGGCTCTTGCCTTCGACTGCTGTCTCAAAGTCTGCCATGCATCCTTCGAGCTCCCGTTGGAGCTCTTGGTTCTGTAACTTGATCTCGCTAATCTTGTCGCGCGTTTCGGCGAGTTTGTTCTCCAATTCCTCACGCTCCAGCTCATCAATCTCTGTCATTTGTGTCCTACTGGCGCTGACCCTTGACATCGACCGGTGGTGGGCGCCGGCGCGAGATGCCGAACGCTCAAGGAGGGAGTCCACCGTGGATGGTGCCGGTCCTCCTCGCCGCTGCGCCATTTTCAGATCCTCAATCTCCTGGTATAACCGCTCCTTTTCACGGTTCCTCGACGTGAGCATGGATGTCTGCGCTCCAACCTCGCGCCTCAACTCGGCGTTTTCGTGTCGTAGTTGCTCACTTTCTCTCCTGAGTTCATCCACCAACGTACTTGCCGCACTAAACCCACCATTCGTTTCAAGATCACCGGATAGACCGGACACAGGGCGACTTGGAGAGACTTGTCTGTGCTTCTTGGTGATGTTGTAGATGTTGGTGGTGTGGTGCATGCCACCGTGGCCGCCACTGGCTTCCTGTTTCATGCGGAAGATCTCGTCACGCAGCTTACGGTTATCCTCGTCAGACTGCTCGCGGCGAGCCGTCTCCTGCTCGAGAAGGTCCTTCCATACATCGGCCTCTTCCTGGCTGCCAAGATTGCCGCTCGTCCTCTCGCCTAGTGACCTGACCACCTCGCTGAGCTTGCGCTTTTCTGCCTCCTTTGACATATTATCGTTCCGAAGCCTCTCAATCTCAGTGATGTATTCTTCGACGCGCTCACGCAAGTATGTCAACTCCTCCTCGCGTTCCTGAGCATCCAAGTTGGAGGAGCTGTCGTTTGACGATCCGCCACTCTTTGCTGTTCCGGGGCGATCCTGATCGTCTTTCAACTGCTTCTCCAACTCCTTGACCCGCCTTCGCAAGGCCTTGTTATCACGCTGGATGACGGCAAGGCTCGTCTTGAGTTCCACGTTTTCCGAGATCATCTCCTTAACACCCTCTTCGGATAGCTTGTCAAGGCGATCGCTGAGGAACATGACCTTCAGCTTGAGGTCAAAGTTCTCTTTGGACAGACGCTCAATGGTGCTGCTCTGCTCCTTGAGTGTCAGATTCTTGCCCGACCTCGTGGAGGCGCCAAGCGGCATGTCTGAGGGCTTGCGGGGCGTCACAAAGCCGCTCTTGGTCCTGTACTCCATGGCCAACGACTCAGGGACCTGCACATTCCTAACATGCCGGGCGATGACAGTATCGGTGGGCGCAGTTAGATTCTCCTTGGAAGGTTTCGGGGTAGCTAGGAGATCTTCGTTTCGGGCTGATCGGCGCGGCGAGAACCGGTTGTCGTCCTCTTCAAGTGTCTCGAGTTGACTAGGTAGCGATTCGGGCTCGTCCAAGCCCGAGGCCATGCTGCCGATGCTCACGGAGCGCGACAGAATGCTGCTTAGACTGCGGGGTAAGCTCAGGGTCCCGGCTGCACCTCCAGATTGTAGGGCGAAATCGGCGCCAAGATTCGCAGTGCCTTCGCTCTCAAGTTCATCGTGGGTATCGGGGTTGGTGATGAAAGAGGAGACGGAGGATCGCTGGCTGGCGCCCCGGCTACGCAGATACTTTGGCCGCGTGCCGTAGCGGAGGGAATGACCAGGTGTACTGCCGGCATCCACCGAGCCCCCTTGAAGGCTGCCATCGGAGCGCTTGCTTCGGAGGGTCGTTGACACAGATTCGGCAGCAGATTCTGCACGAGATAGAGATTGTTCATCCTCGGTGTCGTCAGCCGGAGCGGTTCCCCCCGATTGCTTGTCGGTCCGATTGCTGGCGCTGGAAAGGGCCCTGGAAATTGTTCGCGCGGCGGCGGCGGCGGCGGGCGAGGAAGACATATTTTCCAGGGCAGATGTTGTATTGGAGACGTCGGCAGAGGCCGAGTCTTGCGGTCGCAGTTCGGGGAGGTCGTGGATGGCCAAGTCTTCCTCAGGGGTCGCATCGAATCTCGGCCTTGGACTGGGGCTGGGACTCGCAGGGGGTTGTCTGGCTGGGGCAGGGGATCTCGAAGAAGCGGCCGCGCCATCGAAGAGGTAAGTGTCGTCGGTGCCCTCGTGGGTTATTGTGGGGATCGGGGATACACGAGAGACGAAGCTTGATTCAACGTCCTGGAGATGTGCGCGAACAGCAGACTCAGCCAAAGAATCGCCATGGTAGGAGTCGTCAAAGGTAGGGCCCTCCACAAAGCTGGTGTCCGGTACGGCGGAGGTCTGGGGTCGCGGTGGAGGGAGCATAGATTCGTTTTGGGGTCCAGTATTGGTACGGGAGCTGGACGGGGTACTGCGACCTAGTTCGTGGTTGTGAGGTTGTTCGTCAGGAGGGGGTTTGGTCGGCGTATGTTGCGACTCGTCAACGGTAGCGCTTCCTGAATGATTCAACCGTGATGTGTCATCATCACCATCGTCGTCAACCCGGCGGGCAGTAGTAGGACGGGAGTCGTCATGATGATTAGGGCGGCTCGAAGGCCGAGTCTCATCACGTTCCATGGTTGGAATTGGCTATGCAATTGGGGAGATGCATTCGGCTGGCTGAGGACGTGGATTTTTCTTTGTCTCGCCCGTCGTTGGTCCTCGAGGGAATGATTGGCGGTTTCGGGAGGGGGCTCGAGCCGGGGGATGGTGGGCGCTGAAAAGGCGTTTCGAAGGAGACGATGCGCCGGTGATCAATGATCGGTGAGGGATGAGAGAAGTAACGACCTGGAGGAAATAGAATTCGATTGAGCTAAGAAGTGTCAGAGTTTCCCCCTCCTTGTCAGTCGTGAGTCTGTGGTGGCATCGGGATGGAGCAACAGCAACAATAGCGAAGTCAACGTGTCGCACAGAACATGTGCGTTGGCAGGAGATGGGCGTCGAGGATTGGATGCGGACGCGCACGCGCATGCAGGACGCCGATGTACCTTACCTTACTTATCATGAAGGAAAGCACGTACCTAAGTATTTGGTGGTGTTCCTTCCACCCTTTCCCCAAGGTATCGTAACCACCACCAACAAGGATGCACCAGCAAAAATTTCTACCCTACGTGCTTCCTCGTAAACACGAAGTTTTGCAACGATGAACGTATTGTGTGATGCTGCAAGACTTGATGGGCTGTACCTAGATGCACGCTGGGAAGATACAGAATCCTAGAGTTGCTTCTCAATCGAAGCTAGACGTGCACCTCCAAAGGGGATGCTAAGAAACGAGTGAAGGACGGACTGTTGATCCGCGAAAATGAATACAAACAAAAACATGGGCAAACTGGATGGTACCTAGGCACGTACCTTGCCTAGGTAGGTGCTCAGAGAGACCTTATCAGCTGGGCACCCACCAGCAGATTACAGTCCCGGTCCACCTCAATTGGGGGTCGGGTGCCTCAGATGCTGCTGTCCGGGCCCCCTACCTTAGGTACCTGACAGCGTATGGTCAGCGTTCTCATCCCGCCATGCCCGCCATGCCGGCCCGCTCCATGCCTTATGTAAGGTCACCAGTAAATGCTTACCTAAGGTGACGTTAAGGTCTAGACCACCTCCGAATGCCATCAATGACTGTTCCCAGCCACGGCTACCAAGGCTCGACCTAAGGTATCTAGACTTGAGCGGTTTCATTCGGTGTTGCCATGGGTCGTGAATACATTTCCCTCATCGGCCAATTTCTGCGGAATCCAACTGACCACTGTGACATTGAGGGATGTCAAATAATCATGAGATAGGATAGGAATCCGCCCCAGGCCATTTTCCAATTAAGTAACTTTCCTCAGTGCAGTCATTAATCGGCTTGTCCACCGCTTCCGTTGCAACCGAGCTGTAGGACTAACAAGTGGCACGTTGACTAGCGACCGTGATGTGACAAACTCTTCGAACCTGCGGGTGTGGCCCAACATCACATTTCATCAGTAACATATGTCACAGGGTCAGGTCTACTTCAAACTGTTTGCACAATAGCGTAAAAGCGTGTTGATAATTTGAATTCATTAAAAGCTATATGGCAGATGTGATATCATAGCCGTAATCATCCCATTGTCGTGAAAAAGTCGTTACTAGAACGTGTGTTGTACATCTAGTTGGAAATCTTGGAGTTGACCTTCTTGCCGGTCACCTTCTCATAGATTCCGCGACCAGCATCGGTAATCTTCTCGTCGGTGCTGGGAGAAAAGTCGTGACCAGCCTTCTTGGAGCCAGCGTCGAAGACTGCAAGTGTGTTAGAGAAAGCCAAACGATTATGAAATTCAGCAGTGTCTAGACTTACTCTTATCGACAGGATCCTGCTTCTGCTGGCCGGGGGCAGCGGCAGTGTTGCTGGAGCTTCCCGAGGCGAGGTTCTTGAGCTTGTCCATGTTGATGGTTCTAGTGTGTGGTGTACGTGGGATTGAAGATTATTTGAGTCGTGGTAGTCGTCCGTTGGAGAGAATAGCGTTGTATGAGTGGCTTGTTGGTGGATGTGAAAGTGATTCAGATCGAGGAGCACTGAGAGGAATGCTTGGGCATTTTATACATCTAGTCTCCTTCCATCAGGTCAGCCAACGGAACCTTTCCCATCCTGTTCTTCACCTTCCATCAGGCTTGGGAGGCAACCAGGGCGGCATGAGGGGAGGTACCTTGGAGTGGAAGGACCCCTCCCCCGCTTTCCACCATTAGCGTCAGACATTCCCAGTTCTCACCCGCGTCCCCGTGGGTCCAATGACCTAATCCATACCCTCGCCCCCAAGTTGGCAGAACAGATGCCCAGTTCCAATTCCCATTTCTGACCGAGTCTATCTAAACAAAGTAAGATAGCTAACTGCCTACCTACGTCATTCGCCGGCAGTTCCAAAGGTAAGACTGTAAGGTACCGCGACCTTATGCACTCCCTACACGTCGTCCAAGAGAAACCGGATGTTGAGTCTGCTCATCTAGGCACCTTATCGCAATCTGTAGTCGTCTTTCCCCCGTCAGTTAACCCAGTCGGAATGCCAAGCAGGTTCAGGGTCCTCGCCCGTTGGCTGTTCCTGCCATCATGGCTTGTTTTCTCCCGAGAGAATGCCAGCCCTGGATGCTTGGCAGGCTGAAAATCGAGTCCATCTCTCGAGCTAAGGTACCCTTACCTGGCTGACATTTCAAAGATACCTACCCGGCTGAACGGCAACCCAGTGCACGGTGTCCGGAGGGGGGGAGCCAGACACTCGCGATACCTTATGATCCATGTTTCTGTAATTCCTGCAAGCACTCGGCTGCAGCACTCAAGATTCAATCCGAACCTCTGTGTGACTGTGTGCGTGTTCTAGCCGACTGGTTACGTCATATCAGATCAACCGGGGCGCCTGGGCCTCGATTCGCCAACAAGAGCCGCTCCCGTCAAAGGTACGAGGGTACCTATGCAAGCAAGCTTTCTACCTACCTACCTGACCTGTAGACTGTGGTACCCACGTTCTTCTTGCGACAGAATCATCATGTGACGACGATCCCAGTGACGAAATGCAGTTGATCCTAAACAATGCTGGTCTCGGACTACGGGGACCGGACTACGTGCAGGTATGTACCTGACTACTTGGCTTCCGTTGACAAATGCAGACGGAAAACACGTATACCATACAAGATCGCTCCATGGGTGAATTGCGTCAAATTTGGTCTAAAAGCGGACCGCGCTTTGGGGGAGAGTGCAGCCAGGTTACGATGCGACGAAGAATGTCATTGCCATAATGCTATTCCATCAAAGTTGCGAACCTTGCCTTGCCTTGCCGGACTTGCTTGCGCTATCTTGTTTGCCTATCCAAACTTGCCAACTTCTCATTGTTGGACCTCTTAATTATGTACCTGGCATTCTATCTTTACTCATCATCGCACGCCTTCGGTACGCAATCATGCCGTCCATTCATAAAACAATAGCTTATGCGAAACCTCCGTCCAAAATCCCCAAACGCCTATATGTGCATTGCCCGGAATCAAGCAAGACAGCCATTAGCCCCCTTGCGATAACATTGACTATTAAATCCATCAGATCATACTCGTAAATTCGTCCCCAGTCGCTCAACGGGCGATGTGTTCATGCCGGCCGATAGGCCTGTCAAAGCTAGACACCGTTGATGTCTCCGTAAGTATGTCGATTTGTGTCGGACTATGACGGAAGATATCATTGCAGGAAACCGGTGCCGAGGACGTCGACGATATTCCTCACGCAATAGAACACAGTCAAAGTATGTACGTTACGCCATGAGTCTCCATCATCGACACTACGCAGCAACCTTTGTCATGCGAGAATGAGGATTCCGGGACAATCGTTCCTCAGCCCAACTCCATCACGAGCTGGCAAACACTTGGTAGGCCATGACCATAATCCAAAGCAGGAAAATGGCGCCAACAAGCGCAAACGAAAACACCGCCTGCCATGCCTGGCCTACGTCACGAACTCGAATATTAGCATTTTGCCCGTTTACAGCATCTCACTTCGAAATCTGAAAAGACAAAAAAATAGACATCACGCCAAGGAAAGAGCGAGGAGGGAAAAGGAGAGGAGAGAACGCACATATACTCCTCTGTTCCAGCCAAGCGAGGGTATCCAGACTCTGCCCCGTCGGGCTCCGGTTAAACACGGCGAGGTTACACGTGCTCGAGACGGACCCGTCGGGACCCCAGAGCTGAATGCTCACGACAACAAGGCCGACGAACCATAGTATGAAGAGGATGAAGGCTCCGATCATGACAATGGCCGGGAGAAGACGACGCTGGAAGACCAGCCAGAGGAGGAGGCCGATGAAGAGGATGACAAGGCATGCCACAGTAATGTAGTAGGGAAAGTACCTACGCGCGGAAGAAAGAGGGTTCATCATGTTAGCATTGGCTTCGTCTCGTGTCTGTTGGCTGGGAACCCTCGTCTTTTCGCGCATTCGTTGAAGCGCGGTATGCCATATGTCCAGGCGCATACAGCAACATGACGGAATGCGAGGGCGAGGTAGAGAGTGCACTATGAATCACGCACCAGGGTATAGGCAGAAGCAGTTGCTGCTGCGTCTCGATAAAGGATGCAAAAACACCGATGATGAGGCAGGCGGCCACAAGCATGATGAGGATCCAGAGGTTAAGCTGAATACCGGGCCATTGGTAGCGGTGGACGCGCTCAACAACGCGCCTCTCGTAGAGGGAGCTGCCCGTCAATGTCGACGCCACCATTGTGCCTATATGCGCTACTCGCAGCTCGGTTTAATGATGATGGGCTGGTGATGGCCGGGTATGATCGCGTCGCCTAGGTATTCCGACTGTCGCAGAGATTAGGAATGAAGCGTGGGGAGGTGTCTCTAATATCGGTATTTTAATCGATCGTGCTCGATGCTCTCGGTCTCCTGACGTATTTGGGTCCTCGCTGAGATGAGCGGCGGGGGCGAGTAGCGCAATGGGCAACGTTGGGTATCGATTTTTGGGTTCTGTTGATTCGGCGAGGCTGGGCAGGATGCTATCGCCAATGCGCGCGCGGCAATCGCGTCGATTATTCTGCGTCGAGCGGGAAGGTGGGCTCGGTTCGTCTCGTCGGGTGCCAAAGAGTTCGTCTTATCAGAGGGGCAGGGACCGTAGCAGGAACGGCTTTTTGAGCGCCTCGCAATCAGGTAGAACTTGGCCTGACTCCTGCACAGTACCCAAGGCAAGGTAAGGTATGCGTGGTTGCGACGGATCGAATGGATGGTGTGGGTTGCCCTGGCGTTGGCGCCGCGGCTGTTTTGGAGGGTGCCACGTCAAACCAAAGTAAGTCGTATTTGCGCCGTAGTTAGGTACCTTACGGTTAGATGGGGGAAAATATGTGCCGCGATTTGAGAAGTCTTCTATGATATGTATATATGTTGTAGATTTGAAAAGTGTGACTGGGCGAGCCAGCTTCCTTCTCTCATCTGCGAATAGGGCATAGGTACCTTGCCTTAGTTAAGGTACACCGTACATGATGAATTGATCTCTCCTTCCACTTGGAAATGGCGATGGCTGGGTGAATGGAAGGCATCCTGACTACGTCCTTTCCTTTGCCTTAGGTAAGCTCGTAAGGTACCGACACATCCCGTCGGTGAGCAGGAAAGTGGGGTCCTCCGAGCCCGCATTGGACCTGCTGTCACTGCCAGCCACCCATGACCCCGGTTTCCGAGGCTCAAAGACTCCAATATGCACCCGAACCGCCTCACGACTTCATCATTCTCACATGAATTTATGCCCGATTAAACATTGTTTTGCTGTTTGAGACCTTGGAATCGAGCCACCGGGGCGCGCTGCATGCTACAGGCGTTGGTCAATAGCTATGTGCGGAACGCTGTTGGCCTTACCGACCTGGGTGTGCTTCCCAGGATCAATTATGACAATAAAAGATGGGCTCAAAAATCTAGTATTCATTGGTATCTGTCTACCTCAACCCTGTGACTGACTCCGAATAAGTCTCCCTGGCTACTTATTCTGTCTTCTATTGCGCTACGCGCCAAATGCACTTTGCCTCCGTGTGTTCCGTTTACTAAGTCTTGCACGTGTTCCCGCAACCATCGATAGGCAGCCCTCGCCATTCTCCATCTGCAACCAAGCGCCTCTCAGCAGTCGAGAAATCGTTCATCTTTGTATCGCTCCCTTCTACACCACTACGCACGCTCAAGCTAAGCAACTTAGAGCAATGACTCTCCCAGAGCGCAACGCACAAGCGAGCAGCCAGCTCTTACTGTCTCGGACGCTGCGCCCTCCTGCTCGGCCGCAAGGGACGGGTTCACCTCCACCAGGTCCAGCGCGACAAGGCTGCCAGTCTCGTGCACACACTCGCAGATGTAGTCACCTTCTCTCAGCGTAAGACCGCCGCGGACCGGGGTGCCCGTTGACGGCGCCCACATCGGGTCTAGAGCGTCAACGTCGAATGACAAGTGAATCGGGGTATCGTTGCCAATGTGCGCCAGCGCCATCTCCATGACGCGTCCGATACCATATCTGTAAGAAGCCGATGTCAGTTACAACGGTTAGAAGTTTATCGTGGTCACCCATGCGGAAAGAAAGAGCAAGGGGAGGGAGGGGACCTACCTGTCAATGTCAAACATGCTGAAAGCCTTGATGCCATTCTCGCGCAGGATTCTCTTCTCACCGGCATCCACGTCACGCAGACCAATATATACCAGCTTCTTGATACTCAGCATGTGCTCATCCTTGAGCCAGCCAAAGTACTCGGGTCTAGACTCCTTGGCCAAGCCTGTGACGAAAGCCACCGGCATGCCGTGGACGTTACCGCTGTCGCTCGTCTCGGGGGTGTTGATGTCGGCGTGCGCATCGACCCAGATGACGGCAATCTCGCGGCCGAGTCTCTCGCGGGTGGCCTTGGCAGAGCCGGCAATGGTGCCAATGGCAATGCTGTGGTCGCCGCCGAGGGTCAGGGTCAGGCGGCCGAGGCGCGACTGCTGGTAGACCTGGTCGGCGATGCGCTCCGTCACGGAGGACACGGCCTTGGGGTTCTTCATGTTGCGGAAGGGAGGGTCGTCTGCGGGTACGAGGTCGGTGTAGAGGTGCACCTCATCGTCGCCGTGGAGCTTGTAGCCCAGCTCATCGCGGAGCTGGGTGAGCAGGCCGGACTCGATGAGGGCCTTGGGGGCGGCGTCGACGCCTTTCTTGCACTGCAGGCGGGCGTGTGTCAGATTTCTGTGTTGCCTTGGGAGGGTAGGCTGCTGGCGATGCTTACCTGTCCGCCAGAGAAGCCAACAGCAACAACGCCGAGGTCCTCGGGGTTGCTGAGGAACTTGGACGTGACCATTGATGTGTTCTGGACCATGGTTGCGATGCGCCGCAGGTGCGAACTTTGTGATGGCGGGGGGTGGGAGAAATCTGGTGGTAGGTGAGAGTTGACGATGGTGGCGCTGACTTTGGTTCAGACAAGATATGTGAGGGCGATCAAGATAAGGAAGAGATGTACGTGAAGAAGAAGAAGAAGAGAAGGAGGAAGAGAAGGAGGAGAGGTCAAGAGGAGGGTAGAAGCTGGGGAGTATTATATGTATAGAGTCTTGAATCAGCAGAAGACGGGCGATCAAGGTATGTTTGAAGCCTTTCCGTCACCGGCGACACCAAGGGCTCCGGGCCACGAAGTACCTTGCTCCGTACAGCCATCATCCATGACCGTGGCCGCCTCAGTCATGGGATGGCTAGCGCGCCTAGGGCTGATGGGAAAGGAAGCATTCGGGCGCATTCCTGGCCAAGGGGGGAACGAGGACGAGGACGAGGACGGGGGTGGATTGTGGAAAAGACAGAAGAGTATTACTGTGTAGAAGGTGGGACGGACGGGTGGTGTCGAAGCAAGTGACGCTACCGGACACAATGGAAAGGTGAGGAATGGAAGGAAGCAAGACACCTCTTTCCTGAAGACCGGCGACGGCGACGGCGACGGCGACGGCAATGACACCAGCGCGTGTTCCAGGCTGCGGACCCCTGAACCTCCCTTGGGCCCCTCCACGAAGTTGACGGTCCACCCCCGAACATCCCCACCACGGGTAGACCTGCACTTAGGGGAACATCAGTGGATCCCCGGACACTTATGGGGCCCACGGTCGGCGGCGTAGCGCCGCAAGGGAAGGGAACCAGAGGACCGCTGAGGCAGACCCCCGCCGCGTATCGCTGGGGCCCGCTGGACCACCGCTGGAGCACCTGCACTTAGGGGTCTGGCGCGCCCGGAGGTGTGCCACTTAACGGCAGGTGACCCGGCGGAAAAACGCGCGAGGCATTATTTAAAGAGGCCCGTCGCCCACGTCCGCTGTCCACTTCACCAATATCACCGCCTCCGGGACTTGGTGATGTTCCCTAATGGCAGGGCGACGCGAAGGCGCATGACAATCTCACACCCGACACTCACACAACCAAGAAACCACGGACGGAAGCTCGGCCTTTTCGGAATACGGGAGAGAGAGAAAAGAAAAAGAGTTTTTCATTACTTTCTCTGTTCTTTTTTTGTTGAGAAAGAGGGGGTGATGCGGACCACTACCACCACCCTTTCCAAGGCATCGCAATCCAAGGTACTGCAGCCATTTCCTCGCCATTATGTTCTCTTTTCTCCTACCTGGCTTTACCTTACCTGTATCACCTACTACCTTTTCTCAGATCAAGGTAAGGTATGTTCAATACTACTAAAAGACAGTCAGGTGTCGATTTTCCGAGGTTCGCACCTGTCTTGCCTTATCGATTGGTCTTGTCCACTTATCAGAGAAACCACGGCCATTTCTTATCTGGCCGTGAAGTGTCCTCCCGAGTCTGATACACCCGGAATACATTCAATTACGTACAATGTGTGCTAGGCCCGAGGTCACAATTGTGCTACTGCGGTTTGAGGCCCTCCCCTCCTGTTACGAGTCACCCACCAGGCCAGGGCAGCAGGGCCATGCCCATCACAGACCCGCACCGCTGCTGCATCTCGATTCCCATCTCACACTGAAAAGGCTCTGCGACTCGTGCCCGGGCCGGCATCCCTCGACTTCCATCTTCTCACCTCAGATTATCGTCCCCAATTTGACTACCTTGTCTTTTTGTCTTTTTTCACACTTCTTGTTATCAATCAGTTCCAGGGGTGGCCGCATGACGTCCTTCCATCATCCATTCCCCGGGGCCTAGCCCGCCCGCCCGCCGGCCAGTTCAATTTACCCCGTCCACAATTCCCAGATATACACATCCTTCTGGAGACTAGAAATGGGTTCAACTATCGACAAGCCAAGCACGCTGACGCCGTCACCCGTTAGCTCCCGCGCTTGAGTAGGTAGCACAAGAACTCTCATCTGCTCGTCTCCATTGTCTCTCCCGATTATACCCCTCACCTGCCCAAGGCCTCGAAGCAAGGACGCTCCCTGGCTTTACGTAAAAGAGGCGTATTCTCTCGTCTCGAAATTGCCTTATCATCGCGTAATCGCCTGCACCCTAAACGAATACCACAGGCGGGTTGGACTTGATTATGACTCGTAGCCGTGTCTCCAATCCTCCCGCCATGTGTCTCGTGAAAGTGATCAAATGACTTTATTCTGCTGTACACGGACCCGTTGGTTCAGCTGCCGACAACTGAAGGATAAGATTCAAGATAGTATTACTCCATACCGACGGTCCCTTACCTCGTGCGGCTCGCCTACGAACGGCAACAGGCGGCAGACGTCGTCTCCGGTCTACGGGATTGCCTTCCGAAGACCAAGCCATTCCTTTTTCACGCCATGTAGAACTTGATCGGAACCTACCTCCGACACTTTCACAACATCCAATGCCACCCTCACATTCACGTGCACATGGCACTTTGATGCGCCGCTAGACATGGCAGTGGTATAATACGTACTAGTCGCCATGCAGCATACATGACTTATGATCTATCAATACCTAGAATGATGCCGATTTCATGCTTCCTCATTCGTCCGTAGACGAAGGTCTTAAAACAACCAAAAAGCTCACAAGTAGGGGTCCTTGCGAGATACACCAAAAACTCCCCGAGGAGACGGACCAAAACACTGTAATAGAGATGAAATAACGCCATGCCCTTTTTGAGTTCCCATATCCCGCGGTGTGGTATCCATGCGACGAACAACAATCCTCTCTGCCTCCTCACGCTCTCTCAACTGGATGTCTGCTCCGCCAGCAAGTCATGCACCCAGCCCATCCTCTCTCTTCTCTCGTCCGTCACACGCGCGTACTCGAGAAGCAACCGCAAAGTGTAAATCTGCATGTCTTCCTTGCGCAGTGCCTTCTCGGCCCACGCCTTGCCCGCCATGGCAATCTTCTCCGCCTCGGCGTCATGGCCCGGTCTCTCGTCACCGTATCCCAAAAAGTATTCCATAATGCCGTAATATTCATTGTACCGCGTGTCCATCGGCACAAAATGCTTCCATGCCACGAGACGGCTGTCGTGCCATTCTCGCCATAGCGTCGACTTGATGGGGAGACTTGTGCTGCCCAGGAACGCGAGGTACCGGCCCGAAAAGCTGTTGCCGTCAACGTCGGGCAAGTACTTATTGTCGTACATCTCGGAGAGCATGACGCCCTCAGTGATGTTGAAGTAGGGGCTCGTGTAGTTGCACGTTCCGGCCTTGCCCTCGGGCTCGCACATGAGATCCGTGAAACCAACATTGGCCCACGACTTGATCCAGTCGCCCAGCCCACCTACCGCCTGCGCTGCGATGTTGTACATCTTGTCAGGCAGGGAAAAGTTGATTGGATCCATCGTGCCGTCTTCGGCGCCCGTGACCTTGGTCGCGTTGTTCATGGCCACGAACCGGTGGCGCTGGAACCCTTGCCAGTTATCCACGCGGTTGCGCCCACCCGTTGCGACGCCGCGCCAGAGCACCGCGTCCTTCTTCCTATTCCAGCGGCCCCCATGGTACCCACCGCCACTGAACCGTTCTTCCTCTGTCCAGTACATGGCCGCAGGAAGGAGAATCTCGTTGTTGACGGCCAGCTTGGAACCGCCAAACATTGGGAACAGCACAGGCGTGGCAGCTGTGCTGAGAGGTTCGATGAAAATGCCATTGAGGCCTTGTAAGTCGGGTTGGTGACAGATATGGGTCGAGAGGGTGTAGTTGGAGACGAAACCGTCGCGCATATGCGGCTTGGCATATTTTGTCGAGACTGCGGGCGCATGATCAAAGGTCCTTTGCGTCTTTGCCAGTCGAGCAGGGCTGTCGGGGGGGCACCCACGGCGGGCAATGAGCCAGTACTGTTCTGCAGACGGATGTTAGTATTCGGTTGTTTTTCGTCCCATGAAAAGGGGTAAGTAGATGGGGGTAGACGAGAAGCTGGCAGGGCACATACTCGTGACTTTATCCCAGTGCTTGCTCTTCACCTTGACGTTGCGGTCGAGCTCCTTTTTGTTACTAGGCAGGGCCTGGAATGTGTTCATGACCTTTTTAGGCTCCGGCATCCCTTCCGTCAGGGCAGCGTCCCTCAAATGCTGCTCCATATCCTCAAACGGCACCACCATGCGCGGCTCATCCATCGGGTTCAGGGCAATGTCCATGTCGGGTAGCAGGTGCTCAATTGTCTTGAGCATGTTGGTCCAATGGATGGTCCAGAACCAGTCGCTAATACGGGTGGCTCGTCCCTTACGCACCTTGATCACCATCTCCCATTCAGCTGCCTCTTTTCGGATGCGCGATGGCTCGAGGCCCCAGAACGGTTTGAGATCGTGGTAGATCTGGTCGAAAAAGTCCTCCACAATGACAGCTTTGCGGTCCTGGGCGAATTGAAACCATGCGTCAAAGCCCGGCGGAGGGTGGCGACCACGTCGCTCGCGGTATGCCTTGGCCGCGGCTGGCAGCGTCTTGGTCTCCTTCTCCAACAACTTGTCAAACGTTTCGTCGGCCTCTTTGATCAAGGCATCTATGGGATGCCCTTTTGACGGATCGATGCCGCCTTCGACCTTGGCATCTCCTGCTGAGGGAGGTTTGGCTGCCGATGATGCTTGATCGGCTTTCGGAGGTATCGGTGTCGTCTCGGCTTGAGCGGTCGGCTTTGTGGCATCCTCAACTCTTGCCGGAGCCACCGGGTCTGGTGTTTGCGGGGGCTGTTTTGGCTTCTCTGGTTGAAGCTGTGTCAGAGGTTCTCTTGGGTATCGCGGGTCGAAGTAGTAGAATAGAGCCACGAAAAAGATGACGGCGGCGGCGTAGCGGAGGAAGCTCGAAGGCCGCCGGGGCGGAAATGATGGTGGAATGAGCTTCACCATGGTGTAGAGAGGTCGCGGGGTCGTGGGAAGGAGTAGTGAGGTAGGATATCGTCGCAAGTCGGTCCCCGGGGGGTGGACAATGGACTCGAGTGGAAGGATGGTTCGAATATCGGATAAAGGAGGCCTGGCGGCCGGCTCAGCCAGGCCAGTTCAACAGACGAGCGGCAGCGCAAGACCGCGATCGAAAGAGGGTAAAGGGGGGCTCGACGCGCGGAGAGCAGGAGCTTGGTTGTTGGCCGGTCGGATGCTGCAGTCGAAAATCGCGAGACTCGATTCGAGGTGGTGGTCGGGGATTCGAAGGGCCCAACGGTGCCAAGCTCTATGGATAGTTCGAACACGAGAGATTACAAGGAAGAAGAAAGCCGACCGAGTTCAACGGGATTGATTCGAGGGAAGAAGTAAGGTAAGGAGTGACGGAAGAAGAAGCAAAAGAAGAAGTGCTCAAGGGGGAAGACGGGCGGCTGGTTAGAACAGTGCCATTGAAGGGGGATTGAAGGACGAGAAGGTCGGGATTGGACGTCGGAACAGGGAAGAGGCGGCTTCGTGCGCAGGACTGGTTCGGGGGGGAACCTCAGTGCCAACGGACGATGACGAGAAGTTGTTGCTGTATTCAAAGGCAAACTGGACCAAGAGACGGGGACAACGGGTGTTTGTTCGGATAGGGATGCGGGAGTGCGTAGAGTACGGCAGATGGGAAGGCGCAGTGACAGCAAAGTGAGATGGGCGACAACGTGGAGATGCTGATCTGAGGTATGGGGCAAGGTAGCAGCTACCTATGATGTCTGAGGCAGGTGGATGGATGGATGGATGGGCGGTGTTACGGAGTATCCGTTCTGCGCATGTGGATTGTGGATGGAGGTGTGGATATCCGTGAAGTTGGATGGGACGGGATGGGATGGGATGAGACGGTCGGGATACGGGCTGACGGGAAAGATGAGAGATCCAGGTCAATCGGAGGAAGCTGGAGAAGCTGATGGTTGTTGGGAGAAGACTGGAAGATTCCGATGGGGGCGGTAGGTGTGTGCTCGAACGGGGGCTGCAGATGCTCGATGCAGGTCCGAATGTAGATGCTGATGATGATGATGATGAATATTGTGGTCAATGGTGATGATGTACAGGTACTGCGTAGTGTAGATGCTGCCGAGCGCTTGGGCTGCGGGATTGTGGACCGTGGGCTGTGCGGGTGGGGGAACTTGGAAGAAGGTGACGCCCAGACAAGTTTCAAGTAAGCATGGGAGATCCCAAGGTTTGGACAGGACAGACAGCACTCTGGAGTCTGGACTCTGGACGGAGTGAAGGCAGGTAATGTATGTGTTGTTTGGTTTTACGGAGTATTGTCTTTTCATTTCTTTTTCTTGAATGCGCTTGCTTTCACTACCTTAGGTAGGTACCTTATTGTGTCTCGCTGCCGTCCAGACTCCAGAGTCGTGGTCTTTGGTACTTTCCTCTAGTGTACCTCAGTAGAATGGTGGCAGGCAGCGGATTGAGCCACTTTAGTCTTTCGGTTCCCCGGCAGTTGACGTGGGCTTCTTTGCTTTCTCCTCATAGACAGTTTCAGAGGTTAAATAACACGCAGTTTGTGCAAATAGCAGAAGTTCTGACCTACCTAGGTAGTTGTCGCAACGACGAGTATTGGTACTACTATTACGACCTGACTAGATTGACGGGTCTAGGTAAGGTGCCTTACTTTAGCCTGTGCCTTAGTGGAAGTGAAAACGGCGAAAAGGGGGCGCCATCCAGGAACCGTTCTGTGTGTCGCGACGACATGTTTGGCGACCAATAAATAGGGGTCTAGGTACTTCACCCTCATGAATAGCTACATGTTCGAATCTACCTTGTGTATGAATACCTACCTGAGCTAAGTATGGACTACTTTCACTTGCTTACCTACCTACCACGAGTATTGAATACGTACCTACCGTAAGGTACACTACGTACCCAAGTGCATCGCCTTAAGGTAAGCTCTCTATAACAACATGCACGAAGACTATGTCGGGGTCTCTGGGCGTCACTTGAAGAAGCACAGCAAAAACCGTTGCTGTGCTTTCCAGCGAAAACATGAAACATTTGGACAAAGAACCATCACTCTGTCGCCAAGGTCCAGGGGTAGGGGGTTGCGGGAAGGATTTGTTCGGAATACCCAGTAGAGTAGCACAACTAAGAAGTACTTTGGCTTTTCGCCATCAACGCCAAGTCAAAGCTACAGCATGTCTCATCTCAATCGAGAACAAGTGCGCCTGTATCTGAAGCCACGAGACCTCTCCCAGCTTCGGCGCGCGCGCCAACCTCTGCTAGCCCAAGGGGCAACGTGCTGCCCGGCGTTCGGTATTGGTGCTAAGCTCCTGAGCTAGCGCTTCTTCTAGCGCTTAGACTGACAGGCAGGGGGGCCGACGATCCAGCATTTACACAGCATGCACTCCTGCTGTGCGTTTCAACTCCTGAGCACATCGGCCCTCACATACTACGTATACGCAGTACAGTGAGTGTGGTACGGATATTTGTCTCTTCTCCAATGCATTGTCCTAACGAATCTGTCTTCAATGCGGATGCCTATGAGTCTGCACTCTGGACAGATGGTAAGGACACGTATCGGTACGGAGTAGTCTGCTCATATATCTTCGAATGAGCATTCGTCCACTTTTGAAATTGTCCATCATCACACGTCCACCACCTCACGTCATCTCATAGACGGCCCTTTGGCTGTAGCTGTCGCTATTGACAACCCTAGAGTGAGGACGCAGTTGGATCATGATGGACGGATGGCAATGAGAGATGAGAGATGAGAGGTGAGAAACGAGAAATGGGGAATGGGCGGCCATCTTGTCCCACTGCCACCCCAATTGAGATGTAACAAACAGCCGAAACTCCACCTTTCATCCCCAGTCCTAGCTCTTCATTGATTAGTTCATCACCTGAAATTCTGAGTATTCGTCAGTGAAGTGTCTTTTCTTTGTCATCTTACCGTTGTACTACGTATGAGATGACGAGAAACCGAGTGCGGGTATTCCCCATCCCCTCAAAACCCCACGTGGGATCAATTTGCAACGTTTAGAAGACACGCGTGTCAGTCTGTATGTGCTATAGTACGACCAGTGACCACTTCCATCCCATGTTGCTCATCTGCCCATCCGCGAATCATGAACCGAAAGCAAACCAACATAAAATAAAATGCACGGCGGACGCGTATACTCAAAATAAGACATACCCAGGAAGTTGTGAGCATAGCCTCCTGCAACTTCTGAAGAACCTGCTCAGTCCACTTTGCAATCACACTCTAGCAGACGGGCACACCATTCCCCATATATTTGCGCAAGCCTTCATCAAACTGTCTGCTCGTCATTCCCAGTCCCAGACATCGCTCTCAGAAGACTCGGAGCCGTGCTTTCACTCTCCAAAGTTTGAACAAGCTCATCCCCGTCCAGTGCTGTCCAGTGTCGTCATGGTCCATCTATCTAGCCCTCAACCTCTATTCACCCGCGACGCGGCTTACGCAGCCCCCACACTCCCTCATCGCGGCTCACCATGCATCCCTTGCACTTCTTCCCGAAAGCTGTTCTGGGTGTTTCGCGACCCTGGACCCCTGACATTGACGAGCACTGTTGATTTTGAATGCTTCGACCGGTTCCAGACGCATCAAAGCAAATGGGCAATGTGCTTCACATATACCGTTCCCAAACGATGACTGCGGACGAATCTTGTCATAACCTTGGTCATGTCACGGAGCGAATGCAGCTCTAGGCCAGCTACGAGTCTTTGACTACGCAAACGCATTCATGGGTCAGGAGCTGGGCGTTGATGAAAGGCTTTCTGAGAGCTGGCAATTCTCTCCATCAACCGTCAACGTGTGATCGGGAACCAACCTGCCAGGTTACTCCGCATCATATCTATATTGCTTTGTTGTAAATTTAAACTACATACATTATGATAGTACATTAAAATACCAGATGGATGTAGCCTACGATATACATGATACAGGATACAGAGGGGTTTAGTACATAATTATACATGTTTAGTGAATCATGAGTGCTGCCCGCGGCCCCCGCAAGACCCCTGGCAGCATGAGATGCCTGCTTTCTTTCATAAAGGCTCTTACGCCAATGCCGCATCCGCCGACATGCTGCTACCGCCGGCGTTGTGATCATCATCGGAGGGCTCAACGTCGTCCGCCAATCGCCCAATCATCTCCTCGTACGTTGGGTGGAATGGCCACGCCATGAAGGCCTCCATCAGCTCCATCCACTGCTTCTCGCTCAGCACTCTAGAACAGAGCTCCGCGTGCCCCGTTCCAGTCAGTCCGCCCTGATCCGGGTCCCGCAGGCTGGGGCAGTGCGGCAAGATGCCCTCCGCCGCCCCGGGCCAGATGCGCTCCAAAGACTTGCTGACGGGCTCCAGGCCCTGCGCCAGCATGGAACTCCGGAACAATTCAAACATGTCGCCCGCTCGCGAGGTGCCTGGCCCGGACTGCCGGAGGAGCGGATACATCGCCTTGGGCTGGATGTCCAATAGACAACACTCGACGTTGGGGAAGAACTCGTCGGGATTGACGGCGAGCGGCTCGTAGGGTCGCCTGTCCCAAAGCATCACCGGCGGGTCTTGGCGAAAGATGTGCAAGTTGTCCCGGATGACGCGGAAGTCGATGAGGAAGTTCTTCCCCATTGACGAGACCTTGGCCTCCCACGCCTGTTCGCGCTCGCTCAGCTCCGCGTCCGGGACGGCCTTGGTCGCACGCAGTCGGCTGAGCTCGTACATCTCTGCTAAGAGGGCCGTGTTGCTCTCGGCGTCTTCCTCTTGTGTTTTAAGTGTGTGCCGCAAGAATTTCAGGCGCTTGAAAGACTTTGATGTATTCGACGTATCCATCGTGCCGGCCGCCAACTCGTCTTCGAGTTCCTTCAGCTCCGCCACGTAGGGCCGGCTGAGATGCGGCGTTTGCACGCCTGCGTGGCGCCCAGGGCCGATGGCTCCTTGTTCAGCCTGCGCTGTAGAGTCCAGCTTTCGTCCCTCTGGCATCTCCAGCCCATTCTTTTCCATCCTTTCTAGTGTGTCCCTTGTGCTGTCGATATCAATCCATCGATCGCGAACGTGCCAGACGTCTCTCTTGGAGTCCGAATTCGAATGCGCCTCCGTGCCGGCCACTACGCCGAGCCACTCGCACGCAAACTCGGCCTCAATCGCCGACTTGCGCCGCCCCTGAATGTTCCTTGCTAGGAATGAGCGCTGATCGTCGTTGTTGGCCCACACCAGCATGCGCACGAGGCCGTACTTTTGAAAAAGTGTGCCGGTGCGGATACTGCTGATGAGTTGAAAGAGCACCATTGAGGCGACGCTATCGAAGTTGCGGTAACGTTTCTTGGGGAAGAAGGAGAGGTTCGCCGTCACGAGGAGGGTGTCGTTGCGCGTAGGCTCAATGTCAGGGCCCCTTGGCTGAGGGACCTGGTTCTGGATGTGGCCGAGCACTTCGTTCAGCTCGTTCCACAGGATTCCGGACTGTGGTATCAGTTGTGTATTTTGGTTTTCGAGTAGAGGCTCGAGGAAGGGTCGGTAAACATCCTCGTCGGGTTCCATGAGGATATGGGTGCGCGGCTGGAGGACCTCGGAGAGCTTGCGACTCCAGACGCCGGCGCCCGGGTTGATGTCGACCAAGTCGCAGCCAACATGTCTTTCGAGTGTAGGACCTATGTATTTGAGGATATCATCTGGTGGAAATCTCAGTTAGCGTCTTGGTCTGTAATGCGACTGAGTACGGGCATTACGAACGCACCGCATAGCTTCTCATCCACGACATTGACACGCGACTTGTCGCCCTTTGCCTTTTTCTTCGGCTTGACTTTTTTTGCGTCAGCACTGCCTTTTTCCGCCTTCTTGGAACGTGATGGCATCGACCAAAGTCCCGTTTCGGCCAACCTTGACGCTGTCGGGGTTGTCTCCTTCAGGACGGTTGAGGCGATCGTGGCTTTGGTTGCGACAGCACGTCTACCGGATGTCTGCGCTAAACATTGTGAGGGAGGACGTCGTGCCCATGTGCGACGTAAGCAAAGCAGCATTTGGGTATACTAAAGGAAACTTGTGGTGCGAGACGTGCATTTGGGGGGCTTCAAGAGGAACTCGCGAGCGTCACAATTCAGACAGCAAATATTCTGCCGACGATTACCGCCAGCTTCGGGTGCGCCTGGCTTATCGATAAGCACTCCACTCAGTTCCGTGGTGGGGCCGAGAACCCAAGTTCTTCGGCTCCGCACCTGCGGATGAAAGATCTGAACACATGGAATGTCCTGACTTGAAGAAGTCATATTTGATCTAGAAACCGTAGACCCTAAAGCTAGCTTGCATTCAAATTTGAGGCATTTTCTCTAATACCATGCAAGCAACAGATGTAGCTTCGCTCAAGCCAGTCAACTCCAAGAAAATCTGATCAACCTCGCATGCCCCTCAGCTTGGCCGGAGAACATGGTGTTTGAGTGAGCCTCTGAAGAAGGACTGGGGACCAACCTCATGAGGATTGACATTTCGATTCAGCAAACATCCGTCCTTTAACTATTGGTCCGTAACTTATCACGTGCTCTGGTGTGCTATGGCGGAGAGAGATCATTGGGACGATTACCTAGCTACTGGGCTTCCTGGTTCTCAACCTTTCTCTACACTTGGCGGCCCTATGTGTGTGGTGTGTCAAACTCCAGCCGCGACTTGCAAGGGTCACTGAGCAGAGTGGTTGGTCAATTCTCGAGAACTTCCTTTTGCGAGTCGTGCAAAAACTTCCAAAGAGCCAGCGAATAGCGTGTCAGAGCTGAAGGGCCAGAAAAGACTAGCTTGAGACTAGCCGTGCAGCTAGCATGATGCAAGGCATCAGCGGAGAGCAAGATTCTAGACCAACCTGCCGGGTCGGAGCTTCCGGGGACCTTTCATGAGATGCGACGGGAGTCTGAGATCTTACTTGGTATACACGTACGGAAGCTGATCGTCCGAATGATTCGTGAACCACAGAGGCGATCTTGAATCGCCTCAGTGCATTGCCAAAGATGCTTAAGGATGCAATGGTGCGACATGCAACCCTCCAAAAGACGTCTTCATCACGCTAATAAGTGCAAGGCAACAGTGAAAGATGATCTTACGGGATCGCTACGATATCGTGGTCTCGCCGAGAATATCATCACCAGTCAGCGATCTGACAGATCAAGAATCAATGACAGCCTCTCGGCTGAAATGCATGATGAAAAGCCTTGTTAGCTCACTCAACAATCTGTCCCAGCGTGTTTATGATTTATGACTAGCATCTCCAGTGTAGTCTCTCTTTCATAGAACTGCTGTCATTTTCTTCTAGTTTCTCGAGACCTTGTTTCACTTCGAAGTCCGAGACGAGATGGCATCAAACACTCGATGTCGAGCTTGTGATGCACGCAGCTTCCCTAGTATCGACTAGTCCCCGTCGGGAGGCTTGGTCACTCAAATAACTGTGGTGGCCAATGATCACTGACATCCTGTGGGGCGACCGAGGATTACTATCCCAAAGTTTGGGACAGTATTTCTTTTTCAATGTGAATAGCATCCTTGCATTGATTCACCAAGGCCTGGCCCCCTACGCGAACATGATCCAAGAGTTCGCTCGGTTGCCTCAGAGCATGTTGCCGGATGGCGTCTTCTGGATTCTTTGTTTTTGAGCTTCGGCCGTGACGTGTGATGGGGCAGTGGAAGCGAAGCTGTTTCTTTTCCCCGGAAAGACTTGACATCTTCATCGGAAGCGGAAAATCTGCCTTTTTAATCTAAGATGAGCCCCAACAGTGAAAACCATTGGCGTGAAAGTTTCCGGTCTGCCATTTTGTTTTCTCCAGCGTCCTCACGTATCTCCGCACAATGAGCTCGAAGATTCTGGCAGGCCTTTCCGGGCGAAATGTCTCTTCTACGGCGCCATTCGTGATTGACGTTTCAAAAGACCCGGCGCCTAGGGTCGTCGCTTCGATATGGGCCATGATTTCAGTATCGACGGTCTTCCTCTTCTGTCGTGTTTACTGCAAGAAAATCAGATCCCGTGGCTTGTGGACAGATGACTATCTCTTAGTGGCGTCTTGGGTAAGAGGCTTGTTCAACCGTTGGAGGAGCTTTCATTGCTGACGATCAATCCCTGGAGATATTCCTGCTAGTCTCGACGTCTCTCACCACAGAGCTTATGAGACTCGGGTTCGGAAAGTCCTTAGATTTCTCAGCCCATATTTTCACTCTCTCGTCTGTCAACGTCGTCATGAACAAGGTCGCCCTGGCCCTCAGCAAAACGTCCTTCGCGGTCACAATGTTGCGCATTGCGTCTGGGAAACTGAAGGTTTTTATTTGGTTCTTGATCATATCCATGAACGCAGTCTTGGCAACGAGCGCTGTTGTCGCATGGAAAGCTGCCTGCGACAGACCGTCGGACTCTTATGAAGCTGTCCTACCCGGATCCTGCTGGCGAGTGGAGGATTCGGTCATTATGCACATGGTGTCGAATGGTGAGTAACAGATGGATTGAGCTGGAGATTTGCAAACAGCAAGTTGACGTATGAGTTTAGCATACTCGGCACTGGTTGACTTCATCTTGTCTTTGCTCCCATGGCCGATGATATGGAAACTAGCCTTGAAGCGTCATGAAAAGATTGGTGTTGCTGTGGCTATGAGCCTTGGGGTCATTGCAGGGTTAGTCGGGGTGATCAAGGTCATCAAGATTGTGACTATTGCCGAGGGCGCAGATATCCCCTGTAAGCATCAAAGTATTGTCATGCTCTTTGGCTCTCTCTAATTATTTTACAGATCGCCTATCTCTGCTCTTCATATGGGGACAAGCCGAGATCAACGTCACAATCGTTGCGTCATCTATCCCTGTTCTACGAGTACTTTTCACGGAGATGTACGCAACGACGAGATCGGATGAGAGAAATGGATACTTGAAGTCGGATGGACAGAGTGCCTTCCCAACAGAAATTGGCATGAACACTCTAGAGGAGGGAAGAAAGATAGAAGAAGAGACGAACCGGAATGTTTTGCTCGCCATGGGGCCATCGACGGCTACCAACTCCGCCATGAGAGTTCGCGAGACTGAGATTGGATACAACGCAATGGACGAGATAACGCAGGGAACACAGAGACACACATTGAGGAACTCTGAAAGCTATGAGGGAATTGAGCTAGCGAAAGCCCTGAGGTGACAAGGAGAAACTTGTTGATCGAGATATCCAAGAGTTATTGAGCAATAGACTCGGAAAGTACATGCAATTATACCCATTCCGCCTTCATTCGTCGATATTTAGCCTATCTATGATCCAGGGCCGATGTCTAAGCGCAAAAGTCTTGAATCGCCGTCTCCATCACCGATGTCACTTCCCGAATGCTCGCTACGCTTACCCATTCCTCCTTACCATGGATCCCAAAGCTTTTGGGGCCATAAACGACCGATGAGATACCTACCTCGTTCAACAACGCAGCGTCGCACCAAAAAGAACATGCAACAGGCTCTTGCGCCTCACCCAGACACTTCGAGGTAGCAGAGACGAAGGTCTTGATGAACTCATCGTCCGGGCTCTGCCCAAGCGGAGGTCGGGAGAAGGTCATTCGAGGAGCAGCATATTTGAAATCCTGATTGGACTCGGCGATGCTACTCAAGATGTGTTCAATGTCTTCAAGGATACTCTGCGTAGTCTGTGCCGGAATGGTTCGAAACTCAACGGTCAAAGTGCAGCGTTCCGGGTAGCTGGAAGGTTCTTCGCCGCCCTGAATGAGGCCGGCATGTAAAGATGCCTTTCCTAGCCGAGAATCGGAGGGAAGTGCCTTTGAGTACTCAAGGAGTGCCGTTTGCACGGCACCTGCGAGCAAGATGGCATCCACACCATCTTCGGGTCTAGATCCATGGGCCGCAACGCCGAGGATATCAATCTCAACCCAAATGAATCCCTTATGAGCGATCGCCATCTCCTGATTGGTAGGTTCCGGTATGATGGCGGCATCTGCTCTCCATCCAGCCCTGATGACCTCTTCAGTGCCTATGGAGAAGTTCTCCTCGTCGGCGACTGCGGCGAGAATAACATCGCCCCGTAGAGGAGAGTGTGATGTAGAGCTGCATCGAGCCATCGACGCCATGGCAGCTGCTAAGCCAGCTTTCATGTCCGCGCTTCCACGACCATAGATTCGTCCTCCGCCCTCCCCCTTCAGTTCTCCACTCAGAGGATCCAGGTCTGGCGAGTAACTCGAAAGACTGACGGTGTCAACATGCCCATTGAGCATGATGGACTTTCCTCCTCCTGTTCCGCGGAGTACACCGACCACGGAAGGGCGGCCTTGCCTCTCTTCCAGCCAGTGCGCTTCAAAGTTGCGATGTTGCAACCACGCGGAAATGTAGTGGGCAATCTCGCCCTCGCCGGCACCTGAAGCCTTGGATAAGTCCGGGTTGGAAGAGTCGATTGACGTGAGGATCTGCGTCAACGTGACGGGGTCATCCGTGGACACGTCCAACGGGATCTTGTAGTTTCGTGGGCCTTCTGTGTTCAGTAATACCACGACGGCATCTTTGGAAAGACAGTCTGACCGTGGGCTTACTTGGGCAAGCCGTCGGAGCGCCGCGATGGTGGCACCACCACACGGCCCGCTCTTTACCCCCTTCGTCTGGAGATACTTCACGGCCTCATGGGCTTCAAAGTCCGACACTGTGGCGCTGGCATCAATGCCAGCACGAAGATCATCAAACGCCGTCAGAGAGACAGTGCCGCAGTTGAGCCCTTCCATGATGGTTCTCGAGGTATGAACCGTCACTGGTTTACCGGCCGTCAGACTCGTCCAGAGACAAGGAGCGGTATCGGGTTCGACTGATAAGACTGCGCAATCTCGTCCATCAGACTTGCAGTGAGACACGACGGCATGCGCTAGAGATCCAACGCCAACCGGGGTCACCATTAGACTCGGCGTCAGCCCGTGGTCGGCTACTTGCTGCTCGGCCTCGCGAACGAGGGTGGAGTAGCCCTCGACGATCCAAGCAGGAATCTGCTCGTACCCCGCGAAGGCATTGTCCTGGATCAGGAGTCCGCCCTTGACTGACTTTGACGCTTGCCAAGCCTCCAAGACAGCGTCGTCATAGTGGGAATTGCTCACGATGACTTTGGCGCCCTCGGAAGCGATATTGGTGACCGCCTCGTTATCAACACTGCTCGGAACGTAGATGTGCGCAGGGATGCCTAGAATTTTGGCCATGGCCGCAACGGCTCTGCCATGATTGCCCTCCGTAGCTGCGTAGAGGGAGAGATTGTTCGTTTGGGCGGCCTTTGCGACTTCGTTGAGTGGTGTGTCGGCGGGCAAGTGCAGCTCAGTTGTGATGGCGCGGTACGTTCCCCATGATGCACCCAGAATCTTGAAGGATGGTAGTCCTAGTCTGTTGCTCTCGTCTTTTATATAGACTGCTTTCACGCCTAGTTCTTGTGCGATCTCCTCGAGAGAAACGAGAGGGGTTCTGGCGAAGGCGGGCAGCTGCTGGTGGAATGCCTGTGCGAGAGATGCATCAGAGACAGGCTTGATCGGCCCCGTCTTGTGATTGATGTATACGTTTCTGCGTGTGGTCGTCATGGTTGAGTACTATGATCCTGTCTTGATGCTACAACTTTGCTTGAACTGACGCGGAGAATGGCGAGACCAATGGAAGGGAAATTGTCGTTCCTTGTGCTACATTTTGTATACGAGCGCTTGTTGGATGTATTGGGTAGCAACACAGACTGATCACCATTACTACATAGCCATACTCGAACTCGAGGAGGTGTTGGAAGCATCGTTGAAGCGCGAATGTGGACTCCGTGAATTGTCAAGATGAGGGGCCGGAGAGTGGGGACGTCTGTCGGCGAAGGGCGCATAAGGCGCGGGCTACGCCGAATAAGTGTTTACCGATCAATTCGCGATTGCTGCTTAATAAACAATTCCGTCTCGACTAGGTCTTAGAACCAGCAAGTGACTCATATATCGCTCACCAGCTTCACTATTTAGACAGCCCGTATGTACATGGGCCCGTTCTATCTGTCATTGAAGCCTTGTTGGCATACTTCATTTGTGTCTTCCGTCTTAGCGATCCGCCCTTGAACGACACATCGATGGAGCTCCCCTACACCACCGTCGACGTCTTTACGGACAAGCCCTTTGAAGGCAACCCTCTAGCCATTGTCACGATCCCGGCCTCGACTGACCTGACACAAGAGCAGAAGCAGGCCATTGCCAGAGAGTTCAACTACTCGGAGACGACGTTTGTGCACGAAGTCGACGACCCCGCATCCACGGAGCGCCGCTTCGATATCTTCACACCGACCGCGGAGCTTCCCTTTGCAGGCCACCCCACCGTCGGCACGGCCATCTTTCTCAAGTCCCGCGGCGTCAAGAAGCTGATTGCGAAGGCCGGGCCCATTGAGATCGAAGAGACGGGGGCCGAGTCCGTACGGGCCGCCATCCCGCACAACACCCATCTTCACCAGAAGCGGCTGAAAGACCTCGGGCCCGGGCCCTACAGCAATGCGACGGCAGAACTTGCCGCTGCAGAGGCCGAAGCGCCTGTTTTTAGCATTGTAAACGGCATGACGTTTGCTCTTATTGAGCTGCCCTCGCTGGCATCGTTGGCGTGGGCCAAGATTGGGCCCATGGAGTTTCGGCAGCAGGAGCTTCTGGACGAAGGGTGGCGCAAGACGTTTATTTCGCGATACTACTTTGTGCGGCTTGGAGCTGAGACGATTGACGGGCGTGTCGTGCACAAGATCAGAACCCGTTTGATCGAGCCTGATCTGGAGGATCCTGCAACGGGCAGCGCTGCCTGCGCTCTCTCGAGCTACCTGAGTTTGCACGAGCTGTCTGAAGATTCCCTCAGCTTCGAGATCACGCAAGGAGTCGAGATGGGTCGAAAGAGCAACATTTACGTTGACGCGAAGCTTGGACGTGGCGAGAACGGTGCACGAAAGCTGGAGACGCTGCACCTTGGAGGCAAGGCCACAAAGGTCATGAGTGGCACCATCTTTTTGAAGTCATGAACAGTTGGAGTGACATACACAAGACGGCCATCAGCGTTTATGAACAATGTATATGAATTTTTACAAGAAGTGCAGCCGGTATCTGTCTCACACAGATAACCCGACTGTGATCCCTTTACCTCAAAGGTTGATGTTCAAGCCGAGAGTGTTGTTGAACGTGACGGTACCCCAGTAAGGCTCCTGGCCGGCATTTCCCACATTGACGTAGGTGCTCTCGGAGAAGACGCCCTGCTTGGAGAGCGCGAGGAGCCAGTCCTTGATGTCTCCCTCAAAGGAGCCCTTCTCCAGGTCGCCGTACTGGGTGGGAGCAAGCAGCGAGGACACGGTGATGCCGGTATCGGTGTTCTTGCCCTGGTACAGCTTCCACCCGTCCTTGCCAAAGAGCCCGTCAATCGTAGCCGTCGGGCCCTCGGCCCAGCCAATGGGCACCTGTCCGCCTTCCCAGCGGAGCCAGAGCATGAGCTCCTGGGCGTTGCTGGACGTGCTGTCGCCTTTGGTGTCGGAGGTCATGAAGTCGTAGACGACGTTGCCTTTGTTGGTTGGGTTAGTACAGGCGAGTACCGCTAGGTTGAACGTGATGCAAGGTAGAAACCCTACTTACCCTTGTAGGCCGAAGAGTTCGAGACAGTCCAGCTGTAGGTGCTGGGGATGCTCTGGATGTCACTGAGCTTGGTCTCGAGGTTCTGGGTCAGGCCGATGAAGGAGTATCCCTTGACGACGTCCTTTTGGTACGTGGGATCGATGTCCCAGATGCTGCTCCATTGGATCCGTTGCGCATCGCCGGACCCGGAAGTGCCGTAGTAGCCGGTGCAGGCCGATCCCTTGATGGCCTGGTAGGCGTAGTTCATCGAGTAGACGATCCACGGGGTGCCCATGAGGACCTCGTAGTCGTTGGGGGCACCGCAGAAGGTCTTTTCGGCGACCGCGGCGGACACGAAGGCGGCCGGAGCCAGGTAGCGAGAGAAATGCATCGTTGCTGATTGAGTTTGCTGGGATTGAGATGCTGTAGAGACTGTATAAAGCAACCCGCCAGTGGTGCGAAAAAAGAATGACAGTAGAAGTTGGAATGAAGATTGGAATAGGATCACATTTGGGCCATATGGAGTACAGGCTACTATTATCTATAAACTACATGCATACGTTCTGCGTGACAAAACGGAGTCTTGCCTCCTCCCCCTTGCCGAGAAGTTTTGATGAGATTTCGTGGAGAAAGCAGGGGCATCTAATTAAGCAGAGAAAGCAGACCATAACGCTGTTGTAAATACCGGACTATATTGCACTTGGTTAATCTGAAACCGCCCGCCGATTGCAACACCCCGGCCCGGACGGGAAATAATTACACGAACTGGGCCCCCATCAAAAGGCGGAACGGCAGTGTACATCGCCTAGTAAACTCACTAGAGTAGACGCAGCTTCATGTTGAAAGCAATACCCGCATCTGTACACTTTGATGTGACAAGCAGTGTCAATTTCAGCCTGCGAACCCGAAGATATCGGATTGTGCCACAGTGGGCCTTGTAGGTGTTCATTTGTTCTCCGCTTGATTGTGGGGCGTCAGCTGCGGGTTCTAGACTTTTGGGCAGGGGAATAACGCCGGGAAACAAATCAATTCATAGGTTTCCTTGAGCGGTGGGAGACAAATGTCGCTGGCTGGAAGGTATCCCGGTTGTGCTCATTTCGATCATGTTGACCGACCGCCTCGGGTGAGTAAGCAGGTTTCCTCGCATTCGACCCGCCATAGTGTGTTGGAGCACCTAGGAAACGCAATCATGTACGGCATGGTTCAGCTCGATAGCACCTGGGCAGAATCCGGCTCAGGCGGACATTTGCGAGAGGCGAACCTCAGGGCGGTGGAGGCGGCAGAATCCCTTGTATCGTGTCAATTTGCATTCTCCCGCCTGTCGGAGGATGAAAGCGAGGGTTGTTTGTTAGGTCTAAACAGCGTCCGACAAGCATGACTAGTGAGAAAAGTGAAGCTATTCGCAAGTTGTTTGTGCACCTACCGATCCTGCTGTCTCGTTCCTCACCGTCTCGTTACCAATTACTCTCCCCTCACTGTTCCACTTTGTTAGTGACAACCTAATGAGTTATTTTAGAATTAGTAAGCTAGAAGAAACAAAATCTTCTGGAAAATGGATACAAGTGGGCACAGACCCAGCCAAGTCCAGGTGGTGAGAGCTGCGGGCTTCTAAATCAGTGGACGCGGGAGAAATAACACGACGCCCGTCCAACGCATACATGATCCAATCGTTGGGTTCTCATGCCACTCTGAATGCCATTTTGGTGGGTTGGCCATCGGGGGACAGATCAAATGGCCGCCGTATGCCACTGCCAACTGGTTAAGCTGCACCCGGGGATACTGGCTTGCATCTGGCAATTGGCGTGAATGCCGAGCGGCTCCGGGGCAAAAAGCGGAATAGCGGCGGAAAGTCAATGGACACGGCCAGGGGGGTTATAGCTCCTAAGCTGGGGTGTCGACGGTTCAAAACGTTCGAGTCAGTGGAATCCAGAGCGAAAGAAGGTCGCATTGCCGGACCCGATATGACGGTATAAGTGGACATTGCGTCATGTCGACGCTCTTCGAAGCTTCGGAGCTTCGAAAACCCCACGATTGCTTTGAAATCTTTTTCTGGGATCGATGATACATAAAGACTAAGTTTGCGAAGCAAGACCCTGACATCTTTTGTTGAAGAATCTAAAAGGTTATTCGGACAATATCGCCCTAGACTGATCATCACACATACAAACACTCATCATGGCACCAACATCAACCAACGCCTGGTCCATCACCGGCATCGGCAAGGACAGCAGCAACTGGGACACCCTCGAGCTCAAGAAGGATGTGCCTCTACCACAGCTGGGCGACTACGACGTCCTCGTGCAAATCGAAGCCGTCTCTCTAAACTTCCGCGACTTGGCTATCCCCAAGGTAAGTTCACTTATGCCACTTGTGCCTGGTGCCCGAGTTACCTCTGGTCGACCGAGACACGCCGGACCACCCCCGCTAACGCCGCTCCTTTGCACCTAGGGCCTCTACCCCTTCCCCGTCAGCTTCCCCCGCGTCCCGGCCTCTGACGGCGCCGGCCGCGTCGTCTCCGTCGGCCCCAAGGTCACGCAGGTCAAGGAGGGCGACAACATCGCCACGCTCTTCAACCAGCACCACCAATCCAACCCCATCACCCCTCTCGCTGTCAAATCCGGCCTCGGCGGCGCCCTCGACGGCACCCTCCGCCAGTACGCCGTCTTCCCCGAGCACGGCGTTGTCAAATCCCCCAAGACACTCTCGTCCGTGGAGGCCGCCACGCTCCCCTGTGCGCCGCTGACGGCGTGGAACGCGCTGTACGGCCTGCAGTCCAAGGCGCTCAAGCCGGGTGACTACGTGCTGACGCAGGGTACCGGCGGCGTGAGTCTGTCGGCGATCCAGTTCGCCGTCGCGGCGGGTGCGACGGTCATCGCGACGACGTCGTCGGCGGCAAAGGGCGAGCAGCTCAAGAAGCTGGGAGCGCACCACGTCATCAACTACAAGGAGACGCCCAACTGGGGCGAGGTGGCCAAGTCGCTGACGCCCGAGAGCGTGGGCGTCGACCACATCATCGAGGTGGGCGGTCCTGGTACGGTTGCGCAGTCGCTCAAGGCGGTCAAGTTGGAGGGCGTGATATCCATCATCGGGTTCTTGTCGCACGGGGACAAGCCCGAGGGGGAGCAGCCGACGCTGCTGGACGCGCTGGCCAACATCTGCACGATTCGCGGGTTATTTGTGGGCTCGAAGCAGCAGTTTGAGGAGATGAACCAGGCGATTGACGCCAACAAGATCAAGCCTGTTGTCGATCAGAAGATTTTTGGCTTCGAGGAGGTTAAGGAGGCGTACCAGTACCAGTGGGATCAGAAGCACTTTGGCAAGGTTGTCATCAAGATTTGAGGTTGCCTCGGAGTAGAATGCGCCAGACAGCGTAGTATAATGCAGTCATGATCACCATGTTATTTAATTACTGTGGAAATGAAATGGTGAAAACTTCTTTTCATTGCTATTATAGTACGATGGTCCACCAAGGATGGTTGATGATGTTCAAGGCAATACACCACACCTGCCGTCACCATACCAAGTGCAAGCGGAAGACACTTCTTCCTAAGAACGAAGAATGTTGTAATCGCTCAATGACTGACGACCTCCCAAACCAACCCCAAAACTCCATGCCCAATATGTTTGATGATTCCATTCTCTAGCCGCCCCCGCAATCACTCCCGCTCAGAAGCGTCTTCGATGCGACGATCAATCTTTTCCGTCCCATCGCTCTTGACAGCGCGTCCCTCTGGCAGGGCGCGTCCCGCAGAATCGTACTCGCGGCGCTCGAGGTAGACTGGCTCACCCGTCTTGTAGGAAGCAGTCCGGACGGTGGTGCCCGAGGGACTCCGCTCTGTCTTGCGGGCCCAGCGCTTCTCCTCCGTCTTGCCGTTGTGGCTGATTGAGGAGGAGAAGGAGATGGAGGATGTGAAGGAGAAGGGCATCTTGGTTGTTTTTTTAACTTTGGTTGTCGATCCTCTCGGTGAGCTCTGTATGTCTGGTTGTGGTTTCTTTCTTCTTTTCAAAGTTGATGTGTGGTGGATGGGAAGAATTACAGGAAATGGTTACCAGCTGCCAAGGTTCAACAAGAGGTGATTATGTAGGTATCATGTACTTTACCCTACCAGCCTACTAGCAAGTGCACCTTCCTGACACCGAAATCTGGAAACAATGTCAAACGTCAAAATGCTTGCCGTACATGTCTGGTCAGTGGCCTGATGTCGACCACTTTGGGCACTTACATCATTGCTCCGCACAAACCATACCGACGTCATCACAATGCATCCCACCTTGCTTAGTCAGTATGCATAAATACTACAGTGCACAATTCAACTGATGGGTTTATCCAATGTACTTTACTAAGCATTGCATATTTCAATACTACAGCAAACTCTCCATTGATTGACCAATGAGGGAGGGAGTGCACAGAGTTGACAGCAATTGTTGGGCTCTCATCTGTACGCGCCTATCATGTTACACAGGCCATGAGAGAAATGTTTCCATAATACTTAGTAGAGGAAGGCACATTGCGATATGAGGAGAGACGGGCGATGAACAAGTAACCAGGACATTGATGGTCAACGGACTAAGGTAGTAAGATATCATAAAATTCATCAAGTAGACTTGATTCGAAGAGATCATATTCACGGCACATTGTCATGTATGCAACTGACTCTTCACCTTGAACCTCGTCACAACAGCAGCATGATCCGAAGTCCACTCATTGCCCCCGTGCCCCGGCTCCGGCGCCGGTTCCCCCACCACAACCTCCTCCGAGCCGAGAACCTCCAACTTCCCGCCCCGGAAATACACAAAATCAATCCTATCCATCGGCTCCGGCCTTCCCTCATTCTCCAAGAAGATGGGCGACCACGTAACCCCCGGCCTCGCCCCCGGGTCCGGCCACACAACCCGATACGAATCAACCAACCCGGCATCCGTCGGCGCAACAGACGTAGGCCACGGCATGTCCCCTTGACCGCAATGCATCCCACTCGTGGCACCAACCCAATCCAGATGCGAAGGCGCGTTGAAGTCACCCACCAACACTACCGGCACCGCCTCCGCCTTCGCCAACTGCCCCGCCATGGCTCGGACAACAGACTCGATTTGCGGCGTCCTCTTGGACTCCGTCTCCCGCGCCAGCACCTCCTCTACCGTCATGTTGTTGAAGCAGAAATCGTAGGGTCCGTACGGGTCATATCCCAGATGCACATTCCACAACACAACCTCTTCCTCGACATCCAGCACGACCCTCACGGACGCAGCATACGTCCCGCCCTCGTGTGCAGCAGCGTCCTTGAGCGGATACTTGCTCAGGAACCCAACATCGCCGCCCTGCCACGAATACCACCCCAACGCATCCCCCAGCCGCGCAGCATGGCCTCCCGTGCTCTCCTGCACAGCGACGACATCCACGCCGCTCGAGGACAGGAACCGCACCTGTTTAGCGTGGTAATCGGAGACCTGCGTCCCGCCGTGCCACAGGTTGAACGACATGATGGACACCTCATCCACGAGCGGTGTGCCGACGGAGCGGACGGGGATCTTGGCGTCCAACCGCGCAGATGATCCATTCGCCGCCGCCGTTGCTGCGATGACCACTTCGATCGTGACTTGAGCCGGCCCCGCGACGTCAGGCGTGCCGGATAGGACGCCCGCCTCCGATACCTGGACCCATTCGCTCCCCTCGACTCTACGAAAGCTCACGGCCGCGCTCCCGCCACCGCTCCTCAACCCATCAACCCGCGCCTCGTACCCGTCTCCGATACGCGCGTTCCTCAGCGTAATCTCATGAACAAGAAATCCGATTGGCTCAGAAGCATACGGCACCCTCACGTCCACTGGCGCCGCAAGCCACGCATACCCGTCTCTGGCAAGGAAGTAGGCGCGGTAGTCTCCAGGGATCAATCCGCCGTTCTCAATCTCGAGCGTCCCGTTTGATTCGGGCGCATACCCCCAGACCAGCGACGGCTCTACAAACGTCTGGTTATCGGGTCCGCCGCCGGAGGCGCGGTAGATGCCGATCCAATTCTTCGCGTCGGCGTCTGATGTGGAGTAGGAGAACGTGAAGACTGGGTCGTCGGGCAGGAAAGCTAGGCTACCGGTTTGGCGGGTCGTTGGGATGGCGAGCGCTGGTGTTGGAGATTGCGCTACGAGGAGCGCGGAGAGAATACGTGAAATCGACGCTGTGAAGCGCATCTTGGCAGATTCTCAGACGGATGGTTCGAAAAGAACAATTCCATTGTCCTCAGTTAATGTGAAATCCGGCAGAATGCGTCACCTTTATTCAGTAAGTAGGTAATAGCTTGAACGTACATCAAAGCCAATCCTGTAAGTCAGTCAGTGATGTAAAAGTTGTCAGCTTCAGCGGGGCAACCAATCCTTTCGTCGCACTGTACCACGGTAAGTAGTTACCTACTTGGTTTGCACACGGAAGGATTTCGACCCTCGGGAATCCAGTATCCTTGGCATGGCACTGAGGCCAAATGCAGGGCTGATCTGCGTAAGGAACGGAAATAGTCTCGCCCGGTCAGTCTCGGGTTTGGTAATGCTAACAGGGGCTTAAATCGGTGCCTGGTGACTTGCAGCAGCAGACTGAGACAAATTTCCCACGAGGTGCAAAGACAGTTTTGTAAATGATTTGATTCGTTACTAACATAGGTATTACCACGGTATCATCATCTACAACATGCGTACTGGTCTCACTCACCCGCTCCAAGGTACGCACTCACTTTTTTCCATGAGCTGACAATTTAATTATCTCTCGCTTACTTCTTCTCCAACTCCGCCCTCTCCTTCTCCACGTCAATATCAACATCGCCAACTTCGGTATGGTGATCATCATCGCTGGAGCCGAGGTACTCCCCGAAGACTCTCTGTTCAATGTCCATATCTTTCCAAGCGACACCGAGCTTCTTGCTGTTGCGGATCCTAAAGAAGACGCGCTTGCCCCATTTCCAGGATTCGACACCGGCAAAGAAAAGTCCTGCGGCAATGAACACAATGCCCCATTCCCAACTAATGCCCTTGTGCTTGAACACGACCGTGTTGATGACGGGGATATAAAGCAGAGGAAACAGGGTGACGAAACCGATAATAATGGCCCAGAAAAGGAACCTATTCCGCCAAATATCAATCATCCACTGAGTAAAATACTTCTTGGATCCCGGTTGCATGCGGAAGAATGACCGGCGCATGTCAACCATCTCCCAGGCCAGGAACAAGGCAAACCATGTAAGGCAAGCAAAAGTTGTAGCACGGGCGCGGAAGACTGTGTCGCAAGAGTCATTGTAGCTCTCGTTGCAGCTCTCTCCAAGATCACCAGTCCCGAAACCGTAGACAACCAGAGAGAAGCTTGAGAGGCAAAGGGCGGTAATCCAGAGACCGTAGAATACCATGTCGACAAGGAACTCCATGGTGAAAATGCCCGTCTTGAGAGACTGAGGAGGACGACGCATGATGTCTGGGACGGCACGCTCGAAGCCAAGTCCCATATCAGGCATACCAGATGTTGCCATGATGATCCAGACAATTTCAACCGGAGCAAGCGGGAAGACCGACAACCCACGTGCATCCTTGAAAGTGAGACCAACCAGCAATGTTCCAGCTTGGGCAATGTTCTCAGCAAGGACGTGCAGCACGAATTTTTGAATGTTGTCAAAGATACGACGGCCCTCTTCGATAGCGGCGACGATGGAAGCGAAATTGTCGTCAGTCAGGACGATATCGGATGCATCCTTGGCCACGTCTGAACCCGATTGGCCCATAGCAATGCCAACATCGGCACGGCGGAGGGACGGAGAGTCATTCACGCCGTCACCCGTCTATCCCAAATTAGAGTTCAATTATACAAATGTCGGAAGGGGATAATGTTTTACCATGGCACAGAATTTCTTGCGGCGGTGAAGAGCCTCAATCATTCGAACTTTGGTGCTGGGGGCGCATCTCGCAATGACGAGCGGCAAAACGGGAAGCTTGTCAACCTCATCATCACTCAAGGCATCGAACGACGAAGCCGTCATGACCATGGCATCTGCAACGTTCCTTGCGACACGCTCCATGCGAGTGGGCAAGATGCCAACCTCAATGGCAATAGCCTTTGCCGTCTCAGGGTGATCACCGGTGAGCATGTGGACCGAGATTCCGGCCTCGTGGCACTGTCGAACAGCAGGAGCGGACTCAGGACGCGGAGGATCGTAGAGTCCCACGAGACCACGGAAGACCAGGTCGCATTCAACCGAAGCACGCTCAACCTCATCACCCTTGCTTGGTGTGCCCTCATAAGGCTTGCTCGCAAGTGCGAGGACGCGCAACCCAAGTCCCGCCAAAGCCTCCATGTTGCGAAGTATCTCCTCTCGGAACTCGGTAGTGATGTCGACCAATTCGCCGTCGTCTTTGGGGGCGTACGTTGTGCAGATCTGAATCACTCTTTCGACGGCACCCTTGGTATAGGCGAAATACTCGTTCGTGGCGTTGTGCTTCATGATGACGGACATACGCTTCACATCAGAGTCGAATGGAAGCTCGGCAATCTCGCTCCACTCGGGCGTGTCACTTCCACTGACAAACTTAAGGCGATTCATGTCGAACCGGGAAGCAAAGACCTGGATGGCAATTTCGGTGGGATCGCCGCGGGCATGCCACTGATCATCTTTCTTGTTGATAGTGGCGAGATTGGCCAACGACGCCACATAAAGGAACGCAGAGAGAGCCGACTTGCTGTTTTGCAACAGCTGGTCGGCTTTCATGATGGTACCACAAGCATCACCTCCCTTTTTGAAGTTGAGGTGTCTAGGAGACCGCTCGTCGTAGCGAACATCACCAGTGGTGGGGTCCATTGGCGACGATGTGTTTTCGACGGTGTACGTTCCCATGGCAGGCAACCAAGCACCACGGGCCAGCATTTTGCCCTGCGTCAGGGTGCCGGTCTTGTCGGAGCAAATGTCCGTAACTGCACCAAGAGCCTCGAGGGACTTGAGGTTGCGCACAATGACATTACGCTTGACCATGCGCTTGGTTCCAGCCGCCATAGTGATGGTGAGCACGACAACGAGACTGGCCGGGATCATGGATAGACCCGTGGCAACTGCGTAGATGATGACCTCCTGGCTAGCCTCGAATTTGTTGGCGCCGAGAACAATAATGGCACAAACGATGGCAATGCCGAACAAGAGCATGGCGAGCTTGGAGAGTTTCTGTTGCAAGGGGGTGCCAACATTGACACCAAGGAAACGTCCAATGGCATCCGTCAAAGTCAGGGTGTAGGCCTCGAGGTATCGGTGAGGCTTCGCCTTGCCGTTGGGCTTGCGCTTAACCTCGCGGACCTTGGAATCCTTCTTGCGGAGGGCAGAGGCAATGGCTCCGATTTCAGTGTACACGCCTGTTGCGAAGACAATGCCTTTGGCGCGACCCTTTGTGACATTGGACGAACTGTATGCGACGTTGAGGCGGTCTCCGGGGCCGGTGTTATCGGGGAAAGTGGCGTCTTCGTTCTTTCGCACGGGGAGGGATTCGCCAGTCAACAGAGCCTCGTCGGTCTCGAAGTTGACCGCCTCGATCAGCCTGTAGCATCATCAGTTGCTCTGCTTGGTCTTCACGTTGCTGTTGATGGCATAGGATACCTAACGTCTGCGGGGATCGTGTCTCCCGTCTTAATTTCAACGAGATCACCAGGGACGATTTCGCCCGAGGGCACAACCATGGATTCGCCGTCACGAACGATGTTGGCGGTGGGAGAACTAAGAGAACGGAGGGAATCCATTGTCTTCTCGGCGGAATACTCCTGGAAGAAACCAACGATGACGTTGAGCAAGATAACGAAAGTAATGACACCGCCCTCGATGTACGAGCCAATGCCGAAACTAACGGCCATGGCAAGGATCAGGACCTAGGCACGGGTCAGCAAAGGGCGGATTTGGAGTGAAGATGGGAGAGGAGCTCACCATGGTCATGGCATTGGCAATCTGAGCGATGATGATCTTGATGGGCTGAACGCCCTCGGCTTCGCCCAAGTCATTGTGACCGAATTCGTCGAGACGGGACTTTGCGTCTTGGGCTGAGAGGCCATTGAGGGTGTTGGCACGAAGCTCCTCGGCCAGCTGCTGGTATGACAAGGCATGAGCCGGGTGAGAGAGCGGTTTGTTGGATTGACCCGAGACATGATTCTCATCGGGCTTTGCGGCCTTTGGATTCCCCATGCCAGGCAAAGGGAAACAGAGTGCGGGAGCTCAAATAGGTGATGTGGGTGGGAGATTAGAGTTGATGCAAGAGAGAATGAAACTCTTGCCAGTGAGAGTGACAGAAAGATGAGAGGGGTTGGCAAGGGGGTTTTGAGATGGGACGGGTCGGACAAACTGGCAATGACGTGTAGTCTTGTTAACACAATGGATCAGTGTGAAAGATGTTCTTGAAGTCGGACAAGGTGCGATACAGCGTCAGGCAGATATCTGGATGGTGTAGCGAATTCAGCAAGGACTGGTCAAAGTAGCAACACAGAGGCAGGTTGTCAATTGAGGTGTCATTGGATGGCTTGCAGCGTTCGTTGTTGGAGGGAAAGAGACATCAAGAGGCAAAGACAGGTTGGGGGGCATCGGTCTGCCTTTTGAGGGCCAGAAGGGAAGGCGAAAGGCGGCATCGCCAAGAACAATTGGAATTGATTGATTGCGGCAACGGCAAGAACGGTACGTTCGGTACCTCAGTTGGTGACTTCCAATGGTACCCGTGTCGTGGCAGTTGAGAAACAATGGAACAAGGAAAGACTGAAGAGGGGCAGAGGTACGCGGACAGACCATGGATGAAAGGCAGGCACTGAAAGGTACCTTCCATTGGATAGGCATTCGTACACTAATACTGGAAACGCCGAGATGGTGACGGTGACAGGATTTTTTTCTGCAAAGATTTTCTTACTGGTGCAGAAGTTGGCGAGTGTATCCATCCACCAAGCATTAGAACATGCTTGGCCTTCTTGGCCGACCTTGGCGGAGGCGGGCCCTCGTGCTGTGTGCAGCATTATCTGGGGATACACCGGCTTTTTGTGGTCGTGTATTCTCTGGCAGGGAATGTCATTGTCGCACGCTTTCAGATAGGTACGTGGGAAAGTGTACGATTGAAACGATTACGTCAGATGCCAAGTCCGCTCGAATTTGTAGGGAAAGCACGGCGGGAACTTGGGGCCATTGAGCCTGTGTGGGGTATCAAATAGGCAGGTGCTGGTGACGGTGCGAAGGGAGGAAAGAAACAGAAACACGCTGAACAGGAGCGGAGGCGGGCGGGCGGCCGTTGGGAGGGGCAGGTGCGACCCCCGGGGAAGAAGGCACGGAAAGCAACGACTGTGGGAGGAGGGGGGCCGCCTTCCCTCCGTGCCTCCTTGAATCTTCTCCCTGTCCAGTCGTGGTTGGGGCGCAGCCGGCGATGACGCCGATGGCGCCGATGGTGCCTCTTGGAAAACCCTCCAACAGGTCTGGGCAGCATCGGTCTACAGACTAAAAGTTGCGGATACTCACGGTTCTGGAAGCCTTCTATTCCATGCAAGTGGTTCGCTTTGGAATCATAATTCAAACGGTCTCCTCCCCTGTATACCACCGAGGTCGTGTCCGCGGCGGATATTCCATACTATCAACGTCCATCAGCATACCCAGAATTCCTCCACAGTTCCACAGTCTGGGGCTCTCGGGAGTCTTGGCTACCAGGACATGTGTGCCAGCCACCGATTCTAAGTGGACATTGCCGCCCAGCCAAGTTTGCTTCATCAATCCATCCAGCCATCTTCTTCCGCGGTCGCACAACATCAGCATGGACCCTCCTCGTCGCACAAAAGTATCTGCCTAGGCTACCTTACTAAGGTTCCTCACCGTACAGGCAACGTATAAACCATCATTACGGCACACCCGAGACACCACAAAATCACCCTTATCGTAACGTTGGGGACAGCCAAGATTCCTCCAAGCCAACCCCGAGAGTTTCACAGACAGACCGCCCATCCTCCACCAGCTAATGAGCCCGAGTCATTCCGACTTGGCGACCCAGACCTGCTGCACCACCCCAGTCAAAGCTAGGAAATGCGGTAGTGACTGAAGACCTTCACAGCCTCAGTGATGCACGACATAAGACTGCCGTTTCTTCCAGTTTCCCAACCAAGTATCAAGCTCGTGTGATCACCTTCTGCGTCCAGTGATGCCCGACGGATGCACCCCCGCGTTCGGATATGTGGATCCGTCTTCCAAAGTTATTGGCACGGTCCCTCCGTGGCCCGCTCCGGAAATATCGTTGAAACCGAGCTGCCTGCCATTAAACATTAGTCCTCAGTACCTCAGGTAGCAATAAGTCTCTCAACTGGTCAAACTACTCACTAAGGTGAAATGCCTAGTAGGCAATCTCAACCCCAATGAAATCTTGGGATCCTCCCCCGCAACGGCTCCCCAAAGGCGAATCACAGAAACCACAAGGTAAGAAAGGATCTGAGTCTCTCAGCGAATTGGTATCATCGACGCAACGTTTCCAGCGTCAGCATCGAGACATACCCGCCATGCCAAGTTCCCACCCCTGCTCTTTATGCTGTAAATAGGTACTTGATTCAAATCCACCTTCGACGGTGACTCTCGTGACGAAGCGTTACTGGCAAGAGTGCTGCTCGTATCGGAAGCGTTGATGAGTGACTGCTTCAGGATCCTGGTCAGAAGAGATAGAAGTTGAAGCGTTCCGCCCATCATCCACATCCTTCAAATTCGACACTCTGAAAATTGTTCGGGTTGAAGGATATTCGTTGTCTGAAAATATGGATAACTCCACGCGATAAATTGAATAGCTTCTCAGTTCGTCAATTATGTTGATGCAGGGGACTAGAGTGTGCATTACACGTCCAGGATCAGTGGAAGACTCCATCGTTCCAATCCTTCGGTCTCTATCTGTTTCGAGCTTACTATCACTTTGTTAATGGTGGAGTTGGCGATAGTAAAGGCTATCTTCTGACATCTCCACCGAACACGATCTTGCTGAAATAATCTAGTTCGTGTCAGTTTCACCTCAAGTCACTGGGAGGAATATATGGGCTTCGTGCAGATTCTTGAGTCACCAGAAGTGCGGGAGAACCAAGAACGTATGTTAACGGTCTGCTACATGACTTATTTGTGGAGTCATGTAGGCATATGTTCAACAGCGCCGTAGAGATTCAATCATTCAAGATCCAGGATTAAACGGAGTTGACCTCTTTCTCTGTGCTCGTACTATACAGATGACTACTTCAGCTTGGTACTACTATGCTTTGGAATTTTTCAAGCAATGTTGTGAATCTTACAAGAAAGAGGTGATTCTTTGACCGCACGTGATAGCGTCACAACATTGAAGATGACGGGTTGGCACACAATCCCATTTGCCTGCTCTCATGAGACAGCGGTGTTTTATCTCAGGGTGCGCGCATTCTGTGATGTTGCTCATTGGGTCATTTTGATGCTGCTTTCTTTGCGTAGGTCAAGCATACTGATGCCTACTTTCCTATTATTCTCTCTTACACATGGTACATCCGTTTAGACTTACAGATATTCTTCAAAATACAAGATTGTTTGAGTCTTCTTAATCGATCGAATATATAAGTGAATACCTAATGGAGGGAAATGTTCGATCACGTGTATGAGCAGTGAGTCTTATTGCGAATCTGCGATTCCAGCATATCCTCCAGCCAGCACGATAATGTGACATCGTTGACTCCTCTTGCACGCGATCAGCGCTGGGGTTTACAGATATGAGCTGCAACATATCGGCATGCAGTGGACCTTCAAATGAACATCTACGCAGGGAGGGTTTCGATTAGACAGGCGCGTAAGGACGACGAACGGTTTTGAGTTCAGCACGTGAATTCATAAACATTTGCGACAGGAACGCGGCTTGCTTCGTATTATCAGCCGCCGCCCCACGCGTTGGTTTTCTTCTTCTTGGAGTAAGACCCTCAAGTACACCAAGAACAATCACGGGACCAAAGTCTCCGCGGGGGTTGGAGATTATTCCGTGGTGCGCTTGGAGTCCAATGGATGGGGCTCCTTGGCAACGTGAGAACACACGGAAAATAAGAAGTTGACTAAATCCACGTATCTTGCCAACTACCGGCAGACACCCATGCTCTAGTCTATAAGAGAGCCAATGGGAAATTTTCCACGTAGTTTGCACCTATCAAAGCTCCGTCTGCCGGACCCAGGGCTGAAGGTAGCATGCCTAGGCAGGGCAGAGAGACAGCCCAGGTAGCCAAGATGACCTCGTTTGGGCTCTACGAATTAAAAGATAAATAAGGCCCAGCTGCGGCTTGAACTCGTCTCTGTTGAAAGTAGGAACCTACAAAGTCGGCCTCTTCTAACTTTGGAGATTCGTCTTGGCAACCGGAGTTCCACCAGACCTCTCAAGCAACTGCACGAACTAAGAGAATCGACAGCAGCTTCGCAACTCACAATGGCGCCAACATGGAAGGGTCTGCTCGGTGGCCTCCTAGCCGTCCTATCAGCCATCCCGAACGTCTCCGCAGCGTACCCGAATCCGGGTGCCGTCTCCGGCAGCGTCAACGTCCACGACCCGTCCGTCCTCAAGACGTCAAGCGGCACATACCTCATGGCCCACACGGGAACCAACATCGCTCTCAAGACGTCTACCGACCGCACCGTATGGCGTGATGCCGGTGCCGCCTTCCCCAACGGCGCCTCGTGGACAACCGCCTACACGGGCGGAGACACCAACCTCTGGGCCCCAGACATCTCCTACCGCAACGGGCAGTACTACATGTACTACTCAGCGTCCACTTTCGGCTCCCAAAAGTCCGCCATCTTCCTCGCCACGAGCTCCACCGGCGCCTCCGGCTCGTGGACGAACCAGGGTCTCGTTATTGAATCCTCGAGCTCCGTCGACTACAACGCCATCGACCCCAACCTCATCGTCGACGCCAGCGGCAACTGGTGGCTATCCTTTGGCTCCTTCTGGACAGGCATCAAGATGATCTCCATCAACCCCAGCACTGGCAAGCGCTCCGGCACGAACCTCGTCTCCCTCGCCCGCCGCACCGTCAACGATGGCGCCATCGAGGCGCCCTTTATCACGCGCCGCGGGAGTTACTACTACCTGTGGGTGTCGTTCGACTTCTGCTGCAAGGGCGCCTCGAGCACCTACCGCACCATGGTCGGTCGGTCTACCAGCGTGACAGGCCCTTTCACTGATCGCAATGGAGTGAGCATGTTGAACGGCGGTGGTACTGAGGTGATGGCTACTCACGGCTCCATCTATGGTCCCGGTCACCCTTCTGTGTTTACGGACGCTGATGCCGATGTGTTTGTGTACCATTACTACAACAGTGCCAATGCTGCACTGTTGGGCATCAACCTTATTCGGTGGGAGTCGGACTGGCCCGTTATCTATTGATTGATCCTCTCTTTTCACAGTGGAAGCTCCTCCAACCGAGAATCTCTTGTTGCTAAATCAGTACACTTATTCTTACCCGTGCTCCTCTGGGGTCTTTATGTTTTCTCAGAGTGATGCTTGAATTATATAAGTTTCCCATATCTAGTGGCCCCGATCTGCAGTTCTTGGTTGAGCTAATCTTCGAAGAGTCCCTGTGAACTTGGCCTCTGGACAATGTTATGACTTGTAGACAACTCGTCAGTACGCGATTCAAACGAAGCTAGCCAAAGCAACACTCAACTCGAGTAACAGTAGCGGTAGCAAACTATATGTCTGTCACAGGGTTTCCATGGGTGGCTCATCGAAGTTAGTACTGTGGAGTATTTGACCAAATATTGGAAACAACAGCTCGGTATCTTGAATAACATTACATTAACCTCATCCTTGTCACGGATTATGGTCCACAGACATGGGCATATGCAGCACATCGAAAGTGGCTCGAACAACCTAAAGTATCTAGAACGAAGAAAGAAGAGCAGTCTATATACCAAGGGGATATACGATCTAGGTGAGACAGCACTTAGCAGAGCGATTTACGAGTGCAGATATTATTCTTGTTCTGTGACCATCCTTGACAGCTCAGATGGAAAGCTCGCCTCCAGGAAACTCATAACCGCGAAAACGATGATCCTTCAAGAAAACCAAGGGATTTTCGTCTCGAAGACCTCTAATTCAATCACCCAGCTAAAGTCCCTTAGCTGTATTGTTAATATGCTTTCAAAATTCATTTCGAGCGAATAGTATTCTCCAAAATTTGATCTCATTGTTGAACATACAGCAATAAACACCAGTCATCGGATATAGGTGAAGATTATGTCTCTTACCATATCAGAGCGTGAAACTCTCAGAGACACATGAACACAAAGATGTCTATTGCCTCATAAATCACACATAAGCAGTGTTTTTGAGAAGGCGGGCTATGTAATAAGATTTGGGAACCAATCGGGACTGCGATTTGCGGCCTTAAGGCTGACAAGCATGTGACATCGTGGCGCCCCAAAACTACCTCTATGATGACGACCCCCATGTCCCCAAATTGACACTAAACTCATTTCGAGATGGCAATGCAATGCTACAAGGAAAATTCTTTGTCGAAGGCAGTGATTTAACCCCCACAATGCCAGTAATATTCTTACACTTCACCGTAAGGGAAGCGCACCCGAATAGGCCACTTGAAATGCCGTTTGCGTTATCTGGATGCATGGCGTAAGCATCAACAACAGGGGGTTGGTATTATGTGTGAGATTAGGAGCTTAAGAGTTCAGAGGTACAGAGGGCGAGAGGATGCCTGCTACGACTCAACGAGGTGATATGTACCGGTATTGGATCCATCCGTACGGATACTCTTACTCGCCTCGCCCGTCATCCATGCTAGCGTCATTGCCTTCCGCTCCCAACATCAAATGTCGCTAAACGCTCAAGTACGAAGACTACTAACCAATGACCAATTTTTTTTGCTCCAGCTCGACAGGTCGTTCCTGCGCCCACTTGGCGCATCCAGGCGATTGGCAAGTCAATACGAAGGACCTGTTACAAGTCGCTTTGAAGCCTTGCGATTGCCAATATCGCATACCAGCAAGCTTTGACATATGGGCGACCAGAGCCAGCCAGTACCGACCTTGTTTCTTCACCAACATCGAGTTACCTTAGTCAAGGACGTAGTGAGGTACTCTTCATGTCAGAGCCTACAGACCATCACACTAATTCATTTGACAAACAACTTCAAATCTCCCAAGCCTTAAAAAGACAAGCACGAAATCAGGACAGAACAGATGTCTGCTTGCGTACTCGTACAGACAGTTTTTGTACACAACTGTCAGTCTGCCCACTTGGGAAGCGGTGGGGGAGGGAAATGTGGGAGGGTTGTGGGGGAAGTTTAGTGAAAACGTGCAGCTGCAGTAACACACATCCTGGGCTCGCTTGCGTGAGTATCCGCCCTCGCTTCGCCGGCCAAGGTCGCTTAGCCAGAATGTCAAGGAGAGAACGCTCAAGCTACGCTACGAAGGGGGGCATGGGCACGGCTGCATGGGTGTTGTCCTGCACGCGCGATCCTTGGACCCCTCGGCTTGAGGTTGCATGCCACTCCTGCGGATGTATGCACTTGACCCAACGTCCACTGAACCGCTCGTCTAGGAAAAAGTTCATGTCATCCTCTCTATTTCCTTCGTGGCGTCTGTCATCCTCTACCCATCCGATGGCGTTTCTTCTTCGTTTACCCTTTGTCTCGTTCGACTTCCAACCCGAAGCCGTCTCTCTCTACTCCGTACGCCTCGCGGCTTGATTTGTAGGTCCTGCTAGGCAATCTAATCCCTCTAATATCAGCCACATAGATTTTTGGAGGAAAAGACGTTGGAGCGTCTCTGCACGGTTCACCGCTGTCGACTTGGTTGCGTCCTTAAGAGTGAGACTCTAGCAAGGCCCAAAAGATCTATCATCAGCTTGTCGCAGTGACACAAATCTGATCAGAAGCGGTCTTCCGCTTCCGCAGCCAGTGTCAGCCGGCATGCGCTCGCGGTGACCGTATTTCGGGCATCGTCTTACTCGTCGCGGTTGAGTCGCCAACAATCATGTCTTCGACATCAAATCCGACATCCAACGACGACGGAGCAATCGTGCTTCAAATGGACAACTTTGACCGCCAAAGCTCCATCGAGAAATCGGCCCCTGCACATGTCCCGGAGCAACCTGACGCGGCGCGCTTCTCGCTCTCTGGCGCCGGTCATATCTCCCTCGACGACGTCGAAGCAGTTGATGTCCAGATTCGCAATTTAGCTGTCACCGTCGACACCTCGCCTTCGTGGTGGGACCCTGCAACCTACCCCGAGCTGGCAAAGTCAAAATTCAACCCTGACCCAAGCTCAAAAAATCTGATTTACCACGTTAACGCTTGCCTGCAACCGGGCACACTGACAGCCATCATTGGCGGTAGCGGTTCCGGGAAGACAACGCTACTAAATACGCTATCGGAACGCATGATCAGTGCGCGACTTGCCCAGAGCGGACATATCACCTTCAATGGCAATGAGGGCGTTCACAATGCGCGGCACGCCTATGTCATGCAAAAGGATATTCTTCTGCCCTCGCTGACTGTGCGCGAGACGCTGCAATACTCCGCCGACCTGAGGTTGCCGCCTCCGACGACTGCCGAAGAGCGCGCTCGCATCGTGGAGGAGGTTATTCTTGAACTCGGTCTCAAGGAATGTTCCAACACAAGGATAGGAGATAGACAGCACCGGGGATGTTCTGGGGGCGAGAAGCGGAGAGTCAGCATTGGAGTCCAATTGCTAGCCAACCCGTCGGTTCTCTTTCTCGATGAGCCGACGACTGGCTTAGATGCGACGAGTGCTTTCCAACTGATGCGCACGCTGAAGAAGCTGGCCACCAAGGGGCGAAACATTATCACCACTATCCATCAACCTCGGTCGGAAATTTGGGATCTCTTCGACAACCTCATCATTCTCACCAAGGGAAGTCCGGTTTTCTCGGGCCCTGCAAAGAACTGCGTGCCATTCTTCGAGGGTCTGGGTTTCAAGCTGCCCCCTTTTGTGAACCCTGCGGAATTCGTCATCGACATCGCTGCCATCGATAATCGCACGCCCGAACTAGAGCAGGAGACAACAGAACGGGTCAGTCAGCTGAAGCAAGCATGGATTCACGAAAGCAAAACAATTTTTGCGCCAACAGACAAGGCGATTGAGAGCACATCGAGTGGGAAAAGTCCGACCTCCAAGACCAACAAACACGCATCATACACCCGACAACTACGAGTTCTAACCAACAGAACGTTCAAAGTCACATACCGTGATCCGATGGGAATGCTGGCATCAACGACAGAAGCGATCCTCATGGCCCTTGTAACGGGTTACATCTTCTACAACCTACCTAGAGACCTCTCGGGCATCCGCTCCCGCCAAGGCGCCCTGTACACTGCTGCAGGCCTTCAGGGATACTTGACTCTCATGTTCGAGGTCTACCGACTCACCGTCGACATCCCAACCTACGATCGCGAGCACAGCGAGTCGTGCGTTGACGCGATCCCATTCCTGTTCTCTCGTCGCTTAGCTCGACTGTTCACCGAAGATCTGCCCGTGCCGTTCCTGTTCTCCATCATCTTCTACTTCATGGGCGGTTTTGAACGAGATGCCAGCCAGTTCTTTATCTTCTTCGCCATCACGGTGCTGAATCACTATATTTCTGTCACTTGCGCAATCACATGTGTCACGGCGTCGAGGAACTTTCCCGGGGCGAGTCTGATTGCCAACATGGTGTTTACGCTGCAAAGCATGGCTTGCGGCATGTTCATCCAAGCGAACTCGATTCCGGTGTATGTGCGATGGCTCAAATGGATCACATACTCGGTAGGTCCAAACAAAAGAGCTTACGGCATGACCATGCTAACGTTGCCCAGTTCTACACTTTTGGCGCCTATTGTGGTAACGAGTTTGAGGGTTCGTTTTACGACTGCCCGGTTGATGGCGGGGCCTCGAACCCAGAATGCGTGCAGTACACTGGACGATTCATTATGGAGTCTCTCGGGTTTCCGCAGAATTGGATATGGAGGCCCATTGTCGTGCTTGTTGCGTTTATCATCTTCTTCTGCATCTTATCGGCCATCGGACTCCAGTACATTAAGCAAGAGATGACTATTGCTCGTGCTAGAGTCTCAGACACTGATTTATCAGCCGGCAAGGAGAAGATGAAGACGCATTCCATCTCCGAGATTCGCACCATTGACGTAGGGCTGGATGACTTTGCTCTAGCCTTGGACAAGAGGGCAGCTTCGGGCAAGAAGCTTCCAACCAAGACGATCCTCAATCCAGTGAGCACAACGTTCGAGGCAGGAAAACTCAACGTCATTATGGGCCCCTCGGGAAGTGGCAAGACGTCTCTTCTCAATGCCATGTCTTTGCGACTTCCCAGCAGCCTCAGTACGCGCTATAGGCTGTCGGGAAAGCTCACCTTCAACAACGCACAACCTTCCAACTCGGTCATTCGCTCGGTGTGTTCGTATGTATGCCAGGATGACGACGCCCTCCTGCCGTCCCTCACGGTACGAGAGACGCTCCGGTTCTCTGCGGGGCTACGTCTACCAGCCCACATGAGCAGCGACGAGAAATCCAAGCGTGCAGAGGAGATTTTGCTGAAAATGGGTCTCAAGGACTGCGCGGACAACCTCGTTGGCAACGAGCTCGTCAAGGGCATATCGGGAGGCGAAAAGCGACGAGTCACCATTGCCGTACAGCTACTCAGCGACCCGCTCGTGCTACTACTGGACGAGCCGACGAGCGGGCTGGACGCCTTCACGGCTAGCTCCATCATGGAGGTCCTGCAAGGTCTCGCCAACGAGGGCCGTACGCTGATCCTGACGATTCATCAGGCGCGATCTGACTTGTTCAAGCACTTTGGAAACGTTTTACTGCTGGCCCGTGGAGGTTCGCCCGCGTATGCCGGATCGGCGACGGAGATGCTACCCTATTTTCAGCGTCAGGGGTTCACCTGTCCTGCTCACACCAACCCGGCCGACTTTGCGCTGGACCTCGTCACGATCAATCTCCAACAAGAGACAAGAGAGGCCGAGAGCAGGGAAATGGTTGAGGCTCTGATCAGCGCATGGCAAAGACATGCAAGGATGCCTGTAGTCAAGACAACGGGAGAGCTACCCAGCATCAACGAGAGCCAGGAACATGAAGCAATCACCCGCTCCTCAACTGGGCCGACCAACGTTGGACACTCTCGAAAAGCCTTGGCTTTCAACAAGGCGAATCTCGCAACTCCAGCCGAGCTAGGCGCTCTCGTCCGCAAACGCGCCACCTTCTTCGTAGCCTTCCCCCTCCTCGTCCACCGCGGCCTCATCAACTTCCGCCGCCAACCGCCGCTCCTACTTGCGCGCATCATGCAGGTCGTGGGCCTAGGCATCGTCCTCGCCCTCTTCTTCGCGCCGCTCAAGAACGACTACTACTCTGTGCAAAACCGCATGGGCTTCGTGCAGGAGATTGGCGCCTTTTACTTTGTGGGCATGCTGCAAAACGTGGCCGTCTACCCCGCCGAGCGCGACGTGTTTTACCGCGAGGACGACGACGGGGTGTACAGCGTCGAGGCGTTCCTGGCGGCGTACTCTGTGCTCGAGTTCCCCTTTGAGGTCATCAGCTGCCTCATCTTTGGCGTGCTCGCAGATCTAGCGGTAGGATTCCCGCGGACGGTGACGATGTACTTCGTCTGCGTATTTTCGTGCTTTGGCGTCGTCTCGTGCGGCGAGTCGGTGGGTATCATGTTCAACACGCTCTTCAACCACACGGGGTTCGCCGTGAACCTCACGTCGGTGATTTTGTCAGTTGCCAACACGATGGCGGGTGTTCTCTCCATCGATATGCCAGAGCTGTTCAAGATCTTCAACTACCTGTCGCCGATCAGATACGGGACGCGGGCTCTGGCGCCGTATAGCCTGAGGTCGGTCACGTTCACGTGCGACGACGGGCAGAGGCTGCCGGATGGACGATGTCCAGTGGAGACGGGCGAGGACGTGCTCGAATTGTACAAGTTCAACGTGGATCCGAACGTCAACATCGCGGCATTGGCTGGGTGTGTGATCGTGTATCGGCTGGTTGCGTGGGCTCTGTTGAGAGCTGCGCGGACGCGAATGGAGGGGCTGAAGAAGGGGAAATGAACGTTTTGCATAGATACCACCAGTCTTTACGTCTACAATGATTGATTTGCTGAAGAACGTTACCTTCGGCTAGGCGATGCCGTTGCTATACCCTTATCCGCAATGCCATACAGTTTGGTGAGGTTCGATCCAGCCTTTGGTGAGGTTCGATCCAGCATTCGAGTCCCACATAACAACCCAATTCGAATGATAAAGCTCCGATACAGGGGGCCGCAACGAATAGAAGCTATCCTGAATTCAGCCAAACAGCCGAGCAGAGCTTGACCTCCAGCTTTATCGAATAGCCGAGGAGAAGCTGCAAGGAAGGCGATCCCACTGCCCGGTCAGCAACATCCCGGCCGGGTGGTGTGTGAAGCCAGCCGATTGAAGCCGCCGAGGTCCCAATCCGGAAGCTGCACAACGCTTTTGAGCCCCGCATGAGGAGTTGAAGATTCGAAGACTTGGAGATGGGTGGGCAGGAATCCCGATATCGTTATCAACCCAAGGTCAGGTATCCGCACCGTCATGCCGTCCATCGTCAGTTGCGATAACGGCGCCGAAGGATCGGAGTTCGAGGAGCTTTTTGAGCGCCCTTTCGGATGAAACGGCGGGGAAATCGGGGGAGACCAGCGATTGACACGCTGTGCATTCATTCGTCTCATTTGTCATACTCATGGGGTAGCACACCACCGATGGACCCCGTCGCGTCTTCTTCCATGACTTCACCTCTTCATTCTCAACCTCACTCTCATCTTCACTTTCAATTCTCACTCCCTCACATCGACTCCTCACACCCCCCGCATCCAAAGTTCTGCACATAAGCGAGCAGCAAAGAGGATTGGCACATCACACAGCATTGTCTCAATTGAGTGTTCACACTGCCCTTGATAGTCGCCATGTCGGAGAAGCTCCCCCTCGCGCACCCGGCGCCCGAGCTCACAGCTCCGGAACCACGCCGCCGCCGAACCGCATGGTGGTCTCTCATCCCCGCTGCCCTCCTCCTCGCCTACCTTCACAAGCCGTCCGCCTCGGTCGTCCCGTTCCTCGGCCACCACCGCAACGCTTCCCCCGCCGCCAACGCATGCCGCCAGGTCGACCCTCTCTTCCCAACTCAGAACTCGTCTGGCCTCACTCAGCTGGACTCATACCTCGACAGCCCCAAATTCCGCAACGAGACCGTCGCCCGTCTCTCGGGTGCCGTCCAGATTCCCACCGAGTCCTTTGACAACTACGGCCCTGTCGGCGCCGACGACCGCTGGGACAAGCTTCTCCCCTTCTCCGCCTATCTCGCAAAGACCTTCCCCAAGGTCCACGACACGCTCCGTCTCGAGCGTGTAAACACCCACGGCCTGCTCTACACATGGAAGGGCTCCGATGACAGCCTCAAGCCCACCGTCCTCATGGCCCACCAGGACACCGTCCCCGTAGCGCCCACCACCATCGACAGCTGGACGCACCCGCCCTGGAGCGGTGCCTACGACGGGACCTACGTCTGGGGCCGCGGCGCCATGGACTGCAAGAATTCCCTCATTGGCATCCTCGAGTCCGTCGAGCTGCTGATTGACGCCGGCTTCTCCCCCAAACGCACCGTAGTCCTGTCCTTTGGCTTCGATGAGGAGGTTTCCGGCGAGCGCGGCGCGGGACACCTCGCACCGTTCCTGCTGGAGCGCTACGGCAAGGACGGCGCCGCCATCATCGTCGACGAGGGATCCGGTTTCGACTCTCAATGGGGCCAGACGTTTGCCATCCCCGGCACGGCCGAGAAGGGCTACATTGACGTCGAGGTCATTGTCCGCACCCCCGGCGGTCACAGCTCCATCCCGCCCGAGCACACCGGCATCGGCATCCTCTCCGAGCTCATCACGCACATCGAGGCGAACCTCTACGCCCCCGAGCTCATCTCTGGAAACCCGTACCTCGAGAAGCTCCAATGTGGCGCTTCGTACGCGCCAGATTTCCCCGATAACCTGCGCAGACTGCTCCGCAGCAAGCAGATGTGCAAGAAGAAGACGGACCGTCTAGCAAAGGAGGCCGCCAAGGCCGGGCCGCAGGTCAAGTACCTCTTTACCACCTCCGTGGCGACCGACATCATCGAGGGCGGCGTCAAGATCAACGCCCTCCCGGAGCGCGTCCGTGCCGTCGTCAATCACCGCGTCAACGTCGGCGACAAGACGTCCAGCGTGCAGGAGAAGCTTGCCGCCATCGTACGCCCCGTCGCGGAGAAGTATAACCTCACCCTCCACGCTTTCGACGACGAGGCCGAGACGCCGTCGAGCATCACGCTCAAGGGCAACGATAAAGTGCTCGAGCCCGCGCCCGTGACACCGACGTCGGTGGAGGGCGTTACGCCGTATGGAATCCTGTCAGGCACCACACGTGCCCTGTACGGTGAGGAGATTGTTGTCTCGCCGGGTATCATGACGGGCAACACGGATACGCGGTACTACTGGGACCTCACCCAGCATATCTTCCGCTTCCTTCCTGGATATGACCCCGAGAGCGATGAGTGGGCGGGTGTTCATACCGTTGATGAGAAGACGAGCGTCAAGGGTCACGTTAACCTCGTCAAGTGGTACACCATCTTTTTGAGAAACATTGACGAGGCCGATTTTGCTTAACTTTGTTACACGATTCTTTCTCGGGTGGAAGGAACGGCAAAGGTGAATCTGGCATGAAATTCGCAGCCACAATAGTCACGAGAATTGCAGTTGTTGAAAGATGTATGAAGAATATGAAATTGTCAATAACATCACAGTATGCCTCACGTGCTGGACTCGTGGCATTTCCTTCACCGTGACGCAATGAATCGTCAATTATGAATAGATGATCACAGGCCCATCGAGTATTCGAGAGAGGGTGCGTTTGATGGGGCGGTGAGAGATCCTAATAGGCACCAGGAGTGCACTTATTCCCCCAAGGAAGCACCGTCCGTTGTAGACGACGGCCGAACGGTATAATTGTGCCTTTAACACTCTATCCTTAGAGTGCCTAGATGGGCAGCCTTGAGTGGCAAGCAGTACCAAAGTGACGCCATAGCGGGCAGCTTCCCTTTTTGAACATTTCATCTACTAGTAATTTTGGTAACGGAGCCATGCAACTTTGGGATCCATCTATCCTCATGACACTCACTCCCTAATACCTACTACTTCCTACCTACCTCACCTATCTATCTGGGTCTCGAGATCGAGAGGTCGCGAGTTCGAGCCAACTTCTGTGTTCAGATTTTTTCTCCATCTCTTGCTTATATTCAATATTTCCATATACCTGTATCAATTGCTTGGAACGAGTCGGAGCCTTGAGACAGATACTCTTGACACTCGTTCGCCTAATGAAGATTTGTGTACAGCCTCGACCCCTATATACCGACGAGAAAATAACACCGCTATTAATGGTCCCGTAACTTCTGCACAAACCATGACTCATGAAATGTCTGACATGATTAATTGCGTGAAGTCCATTTCAATGCTCGTGATGGGACTCGGGCCATATACTCAATACAATATCAAGACGCAAGACTCATTCTGGCATGGACTAACCCTAAGTTATTTCGCTATCCAGATTGCCTACTCCGTCCTCAGTCCATATCCACTTGCATTATGCATACAGAAAGTACAAATACCACAGCAGAAACTGTGTACACGTATCTTGATCTACAAGGCACATAGTTCTGTTTGGGGCAGCTGAATACTCGTTCATAAGCCTCTCGATTGACCTTCAATTTCATTTCATAGTCAAATATCTCATCGTCCTCCTGTGTGTGAGTGTCTTTCATACAAGTCAAATCACGTCGTAATTCCGGGACTGAACACACGACTAGATTTACTCACACACACGATGCATACCCAGATTGCACCCTAGAAGACATATCTCTGCAAAATGATCCCGAGCTCTCTACGATTCGAGGTGACGATTGTTTCTTGCATACATGTTCATGATCTCGAAACCCAGCCAAATCCTGCTCGCGTACCTTAGCGTTTCTCGCTCCCTTGGCTCATCAGAAAGTGAGTTGAAGCTATTCGCAGAGAAGACTGATGAATTCTCTAGAATCTCGACAGATTCCTGTCTGACTACAGGTTGGATAGTATTCTCAGAGACATCTCCAAAACAAGGTCTCTATCAATCTGGTGTTCATTTCATGCGTTGGGGTGCGTGATGTCATAATCGGCGAAATGACCAAGACGGAGTGCAATTTACATTTGGGGGGACAAAATGTGACTAGAACATTTAGCAAGACGTCAAACGCCAGTCCATTGTTCATCGCGTTGAGAGATCTCTCTCTATAGTGCTGCTTTTCACGTCGGGCTCTTCGGGCCTCTATCCCCAGGGGGTTTTGTACAAACTCACAATAACATTACCTAGGATATTGGCGTCTACATCAAGAGAAAAGACATCAATTTGACCTCTATCAAATGAGCAGATTTACAATCCAGGATGGATGGTACGTCGAATATAGGCAGTATGGATAATCATGAAGATAGGATGCTGCAGTAGTACCCGACTACTCTCGGGCTGTTGATTTCATGCCATGTAGTGGAAGCGACATATCAATCACATAACCCCGGCTCCTTTGACACACTTTGGGCCAACACAGAACGGCAACTGATCTGATAGTTGGGTAAGGCTTCCCACCTTTGCTAAATGAATAGCAGTCAGAGTCTGGGCATAGCCGCATAGCCTGAGGAAGGAGAATTTGTTGAGACGCTGTCCCGAACCACGATATAATCAAAAAAAAAAAAAAAAAAACATTCAAGACAATAAAGCATTGCCCGACGGTGTATTCTTTGATCGAAGACAAAAAAACGCGCCGAGCTCATACTTTGGATACTTTTGTCTGTGCATCCAAAACCCACACTTGGCAAGATCCGAGCAAAGACAATCTTTCAGATTACTGTCTCGAGTTTCTTTTTTTTTTTTTTTTTTTTTTTTTTTGGCGCCTGCAACGAGGCATGCCCGTGACCTCAGGTAACGTTACGAGTCTTACACGAGAACGAGAATCATGGATGCATACTCGAGATATCAAATCACCAAAATTCGCCTCTCCCAAAGGGGAAATAAGATTTCGAGAGTTTGTCTAGCCATCCGAACCGCGTATCAGGCGCCAAAAAAAAAAAAAATTGGACTGCTTCAGCTCGAACCATTTAACTCTGATGAACCATGTGTCTCAAGCACTCGAAAAGACGCTGGTACTGCACCGCCCCCTGATTTACTCTGAAGGGCAAGCGACACCTACATCCTTGAGCAAGCACACCTCTATGTTTAGGCAAATAAGCAAGATATCCCATACACTGGTCTGGACAGATAACCCCCCCAGTGATCACCAGTCTCTGGGTCTCACATGTCGGACCTCGGACTAGCTAGCATCCTGTAAAACCGGGAACCTGGAGGGAGAGGGAGCGCTTGATCATGGGCTGGCATCTGCTTGGTCGTGTGGTTGTCTAGTAAAGCCAATGGATTGTGCCTCTGGCTCTCCGTCGCTGCTTGATCGTCTGTGATCCGTTGATTAGTTTCGTCCCGCTAATGGGAGAGACATTGCTAGTGGAAAGTGACATGATGAATGGAACGCCTGGAATGGCGCGCTGAAGAACTGGTTCATCTGCAGGGGTGGCACTGGGTGGTTCCATTCAATACATTGGTATCAGGCATCGTTCATCGTCCTGTGAGGTCAGTCGACCAAAAGATTTGAAAAGCGAGAAGCTGGTGGGTACCGAGATGTCGGTCATCCCGATTAGATCCTGTAGACTGCGGGAGATCTCCGTATGCTGCGAGATTCAGACGGGGCGAGGTGAGATATCTGGGCAGAAATCCACTTCGGAAACGAGGACTTCCAGCCACTCCTCTCGAAGAATGTTTCTGCATGTCACTAAAGGCAAATAGACTGGTAATGATGACGGGCAGCGATGCGGTGAGGCCAGGTTTCGAACCAAATTTAGGCGCCTGGGAACTGGCGGATGACTAGTTTGCGTAGACACCACCCTCTTGAACGAGCTAGATCTGACCTAGGCAAGGTTAGTGGCGACGAGGCGTGCTCGGGCTTGTCTGTCTCTGCCCAAAGGTGGAACTCTGGAGAAACAAATATGAGGCCCTCACCGCACTTCTCTGGACGTTTCAATGGCAAAAGAATGGCCGAAAACCGTGTTGCGGCCCAGAGTACAGTGATTCGGAGCGTAGTTGGAGGTTCATGTCGTGACGGTTGGTGAGCTATGGCGGGGTAAACGTGGTCGAGGCGCTGTCAAATGCAAGGAACTCCCCTTCCCCGAAGAGCTGGAATCGGCATGTTCCCTACAATGCGTCGACGTGTTTGGGTTTCCGGGTCTAGGCTGCTTGGACGTTGGACACCGCCTTTTGCCGCTGGGTCAGTCCTGTAAAAGATGTCGGCCGCCAGAAACACCTTTTAGTTCTGGACAAACAAGTAGCCCTGCGTCTGTTTCTTTATGTCCGAGGAAAGGGCACTAGTCGTCGATCTAACAAGGCTGTGCGATGTAGGTCGAACACTGGAATGCGAGCAGTCGAGCGTTGATGGAGGTGGTTGGCCAGCATGCAATCGATTGCATTCTATAGGGGGCCAGCTGACTTCAAAGCTATCCCTGTTTTCTTGCGCCTTACGACTGTGAATCGCCTCTGACGCGGTCTGGATGCTGGCGGAGTGGGAAATAGAAAGAAACAAGATTCCATTGTCCAGGGATGGCTGTTTACTTAGCGATGATCATGCAAGAGCTGGAGCCTTGCCTAGGCGGTCGGGATGCGAATGTGCGGTTTTGCTGCCTGTAGGATGTCTTTCAGCGCCAGCTGGAGAAGAAGGCTGGTTCGCGCCAAACAGAAGTTTGCTACTCTGTGTGTTTGGGCCTGGCTCGAGGTTGGTTTCAATCTCGGTCTTAACGGCAGCTCGCGAGCCCTAACAAGATAGATCGGACGGTCTTGCCGCTAGATTGGCATCTGTCGCCCCGACGGAACGCTTGCCCAGGAACGTGGTGCGCGCGATCTGGCGGTGTGATGTCGCATCCGAACTTTGAGGCACTGGCCGTCTTGAGATCCCTTTCGCTCCCGCAAGCGCATCGCCCCCAGTCGTGTGGGTAAAATGAACCACTGCGCAAGCACGCAAGCCATGTGTATCCGTTCGGGCACTGGATGCGCGGGAGAGGGTTGATGACGAGCAGCAGAACAGCATAGCTGACGCGGTGCATGAGAGGTCTGGAGACATGGACATGCTGGCACGCAGGCATATAGCTTGTTGGCCGCAAAACGCTTCGAGCGTGGGGCCGTGGTCAATCTCCCGCAACTTGTTGACTTGGTCCTGTCACTGCTACCAGTATCAGCCTGCATTGTAGCGTGTTCAGTTGATATTCAGAGCGGACACGCTTTGATCCAATGATCTGGTAATTACTTCAGGCTTGAGTAGCAACAACCTGGAGCCCGACGGGGGTAAGTGAAGCAATCGTCAAGGACTCTCTCTGTCTCTGATGAATCATCCACTTGGTGGCCCCCCTTGCGAAAATCCCCGAGTCTGCAGCGGACATCTCTCTGCAGCGGCATGGATGGTCTCAGGTTGCTCTCCAACGAGGACCCCTTTCGGTTGAGGATGGAGACGCACGAAGGGCCAGCGGACGAACCAGAGAAAGATGCCTGCCGGGCATCAAGGACACAGAAGCAACAAGCCCCCCCACAGCCTTAGTGCCATTACCACAGCCGCCAAGGGCAAGGAAGGTGAATCGCAAAACGAGTCGAATGCGCACCAATGAGTGGAGGGTTGCGGCTGGCGGTCGGAGGGTGTGGTGAAAAGTATTGCCATGTATCTTTTTCGCTGTTCCTTTTCCCCCGCTACTGACAATTTTAGCTAGATCGACTTCTCCCCCCCATTTCGACAGGCATGGACAAGGAATGGTGCTGTTGGCCATGGATCTAGGGTTGAAGTGAGTTAAAGTAGTGCCCCGTCGAAGACAAGAGTACTGTGTATGAGAAGTCGAGAAGTAAGTTCTTCGCCTGAGTCTGGCCACGGTAGGAATGAGAGCCGATTATCAGAGAGCTGTCCTTGAGGTTTGTGCAGCCATTTTCGCAGCCCGAGGGGCCCTGCGGAGTATGTAAGTGTAAAAGAGACCGGTCATGGAGCATGAAGACGCAGATGACAGGCAGGTAGGTAGGTAACTATGTGGGTGGATTAGCTGCAAAATAAATAGCCCCTCGCCGAGTCGCCGCATCATCTGCGCCCACATAGGCCCTGCAGGAAGGCCTTGAATTATCCGTATCGTTGCTCAGGTACCACCGGAGAGGGGGGAGATCACAGTATCGAGATTCCTTGAGCAACCAGTAACCATGATCCATACTCCATACCCAGCGTACGGATACATGTGTCCATCCACACTGACACGGTAAGTATGTACTGCGGTAAGGTGGTGACTCGAGGCCCCGAAGGTGGTGGTGGTGGACAAGCGGGTAGAGAAGGTCGACTGGCATCGGTTGCGCACTGATGATGATCCAATGTCGGTGGAGACCAGCCGTCGACGGCACGCACCGTCTCGAAAGTCAAAAGGCGACGGGAGGTAGCCAGATCCGACAACGGGCCAAGCCTCGCGCTCGGGCGGCACCCTTCTCCGCCTTTGTCGTTGTCGCTTTATTTGCTCCTCTATTGTCGTCTCAAGTTAAACGGGGTCGACTGTCGCAGAGTCTCGCAACGCTCAAGTGATGAAAGAAACTCGGCGATGTTCGGATAGTGATCGGCTGCCCTCTGCCAGTGCCCAGGACCAGCGCCGTTGATGCCGTTAGGCTGACTTGGTCTCGTCCGCACGGAGGTTGTCGTACTCGCATGTATGTGATATGTGACGATAAGCTGGGGTTGGTTAAGCAGCAAAGGGTCGAAGCGTAACTAGGTGCAGTATCATTGCGAGCATCCTATGAAAGCTTGCTCGGAAAGGACATGGCCCGCGCCAGTGGCGAGACAATAGACTGTTGACTGGGTTGGCCTGGTGGTCGTCTGGGTCAGCCTCGGCCAACCAGGGACCCCATGGCTCTGGAGTACCGAGTTAGGAAATCCGAGACATGCCTCTATCAGATTACCCAGTATGACCGGCCGGGAAAAAGACCAAGTCGACCTCCTGGAGCGAGTTTAGCCGGAGCTAAGACAGTGTGTAAGTGCATACTGTATTCGTACGCATGTCTTAGCCACTCGTCTCGTTTGTGATGACATGACTACTCGATTCGTCTGGTTGCTTAGAGTAGTGTCGCGACTTGATAACTACACGTGCGGAGGGGAAAAAAAAGTCATCGGAGTCTTGAGTGTGCAGCGGCGACGACAGGAGGGGGTGTTTAGCCAGTCCGCTCTTCCAAAGGTAATGGGAGCACAGGTGATGCTGACTTTGTTGAGCCGTGTGGCCCTCTCAATGGCCAAGAAACATGGCATCGCAGAGCGGCCAACTTTGTTAGAGATTTTTCCGACGCAGGCCCCGAGGAATAGAGCGAAGGGGTGCATTGCGATGAGATGCAACCACGAGGCCTGAGTCGTCAAACAGGGTATGTGGGTAGGATTGAGATGCACCAATGGCTTCGAACCTTGTGCTGCCTTACCCCGGCACGGATATTTAGTTGATCGATAGCGGATGCGAGACAGCCAGGGCATGAGCATCGTCGGCTTGGAATGTCGCGGCCCTCCTGAAGCTAGCCGTCGAAGTAATTCAGTGGTGTTTTACGTGCTATTGCACGAAATCCTCTATCGCCCGAGACATGATGGACTCCTGAGCAGCATGCGGATACTGAGGAATAGGACATGGGCAGAGGTATGGCTCGCTTTGCTGTGTCTAGGCAGGCAGGCGAACCACGTTTCCAGCTGAAGCGGACGACTTAGCAGAGCCGAGTCTAGTTCGAAACTTGGAATATCTGTGCTTTGGCATAGATCATCGGTCCAGACTCCAGAGTAGTCGTATGGGATTCCGACTTGTCCGATCATGGCCAATCCAAAAGACAAAGGTTCGGGGGCCCCAAAGTCCCCTGTCCCATGTGCCGGGCGTGGGGGCAGGCTCGCATTGCACCGGCAGATGGTCGCTAACACTCCATCAGCATCAGAGCCGTGACGGACGGAACACGAGAGAAGGTCAAACCTTGGAAAAGCGATACCCATGTGGCCTCTCTGTTTGGGTTCGAGATGGGTATCTTCTTCTCGCATTTGACGTTGGTGGTAGTGGGCATCGTATAGGGAGTTTGACGAGAGTGTGAGTGTCGTGCTGTGGCCTCTATCGTCAATGTGTGCAGACTCGGGTCAATATACTACATAGACACGAGGTCTCTGTACGCAGTAGGTGTTCACTCTGCGTATGCGTATCCGTAGACTGTTGCACCAATGGAAGTCTCGGTCAACCGCCGATGGATGGGGCTGGGCCACGGCAACAGGACTGTACGGAGTAATGTCGTCTTCTCGTCCGGCCATGAGAGCTCGGAGTATCCAGCACAAAATGCGGAGTTTTCTCCGGCGAGACCCATCCACGTACCGACAGTGTAAGGTATTGCCGTCCCATCTTACCTACCTACCTTACCTCAGGTACCTTACGGATACCTACTTTAAGGCAGCTATTGGAGGAGGTCAAGAGGTCAGGATCACGAGGATGGGTAAAGCTGCCTTACGTAATGCCAATTTGCAAGTTAACACGAATTTGCCTCAGGTACCTTTCAAAATTGCTTGACCTGCCTTGGGAGGAAGCTCTTTCCTCGAACTACCTTATGAAGAAAGGCATGGATCTCGTAAGGTAGGAAGGCACCAAGTTGCGTACGGTCAGGTTGAGCTTGGAGGAAGGAGGGATCCTGACTGAGGAGTGGGAACACGGGCGGCAAGGCACAGCCATGTCTGCTTCGTGGACCGCCCACCTCAGTGTGCACAGACAACCGGGAAACGACTACGACTAGAGGGGCCCGGTGACCAGTGATGGCAGGATGGCAGACGGGAAGAATAGGAAGGGACGCACGGAATACCAGGGACCTCTTACCTTTCTTACTTTAACCTCAATGGAAGTAGTGGAAGGCACAAAGGCAAGGCACCGGGGCCTTACTACCTTACTTACTCCTGTAGGTAGTTGCATCAGATATCGTCCCTTCCTGCCTTGCCCCATACCTTCCATACATACATAGGTACCGTAGGTTGTACTTCATACAAACACTCCAGCACGGCAAGTGGTGGAGGATGTACTCTGGGGCGTGGGAAAGTCCGGGTCGACCTCACCTCACCGCACCTCACCTCACCTCATGCAGAGAACACAGCCAGACAAACCTGAGGCTGCATTTTGCTTTTCTTTGCAATTGCCCGAGGAATTGCAGTTTTACCTTGGAAGTGCGGCAGACTTTCACTTTCATTGACTCTCTTTTCATTCCGAAGCATCGACATCAAACCGTGCTGCAATCCTCAACTCCTACTCGGCACCCCACGGGCACTTACACCATCTGCAGACGAGAGACCTCTGGGAGACGCATGGATTGGTCCCAGGCCCCCCCCCCCCCATCATCAACTGTCAGGGTCGTGCCCACTACATGCCAGGCCCTGCAAGATTGGACTCTGAAGTTTGAACGCACCGGGAGAGCCACTAACAGTCAAAGTAACAGGCTAACATCGCCCTAGATCATCGCTCTAATTAAACATGGAGTCTACGGATACTTCCAGTTTCCACCGATATGTCGACATCCTCCCTCTGTTTCAATATCCAGGCTCTCACCCTCTACTCCGTACGCATATTTCGTACACTACCGATAGACTCCAACCTCCGTGCGGCCTTCCCCCCGTGCCCCAGTGCCTCCGTACCTCCGAACCCTGGCGGCCCGCTGTCATTCGATGAGGTGCCGACCTTCTAAGTTCTCCATCCTTTTTCCGCCGGCAATAGACCACCAACTAGGCGAGACGCCGGCCAAGACTGCTCACCAATACCATGTCTCTGTCACCACTCGATCCTCACGAATATACACAAGACAATACGCAGCAAATCCACCCCGGCAAGCCCTGCCACAAGGTACCCATATCCTGAACCTGAGCCCGAACCCCAGTCTTGTAGCCGACGAACGGCCACATTCAAGACAACGACGACGACGGCCGCGAACGCAAAGAGTCCTCGGAAAAAGAAACAAGACGACCGGCAGCATCAAAGCAGCACCAATCTGATCATGTTGAAGCCCCGGCCCCGAAGCTAGAGCCCACCTTCAACGCAGCCCGGCCCAGCGCGCCGCATCTGCATTGCAGCTTGCTTGCAGTGACAGGGCGCCATGGCACCAACCAGAACAATGCAACAAGACTTCTGCCACTCCCGACAAGTTTCAATCTGAGGCGAATTCCCCCCGCCCCCCTCCGGCTCCTACATTCTCAGCCAGCTAGGTATACCATACCTACTCCGGACTGCGTACATACATTGGGATACTCCGTGCGCTTCTCCTTCACATCGCCATGCATCGTGAGCTTTCATGGCCCATTACTGGTCTTCCAAACAGCTCCAGACCCTACGGCGTCCCTAGTCCTAACATCCTTTCTCTTTGGGCGGCGAGTTGTCCCTGCCCAAAAGCCTCCCATACCAGAGCTGAGCTGCGAAGCTGAGGCGCTTTCGACGCCCCGCCTGGACTACATTATCTCTTAGACCGCCGTGGTTGGCCCACGACCACGCAATGGATCGAGGTACATGCCATGGCAGTCGAGATGGCGCTGTGTTCCCCGGCTCTTTGCGGCTCGCCTTGCCTTCCTTCACAGCGCGCCACTTCAGCGGACAGGACCACAGACTCTTCATGTCTGTGATCCTGACTGGATCTCCAGGCTCCATGCCATCCATCATGATCCTCACAGACTCCGACACACCATGCCATGGATGCCACTCACCCACGGCCCCACCCCCACCCACAAATGGCTCCACGCACAGCACCGGCCAGTCACGCCGCACATCGCTCACCAGCTGTTTGCTGATTCGCTAATCGACGATAGACTACTCCGCCCCGTCTCTTCACCTTGACAGTTGACTCTGATCAGAGCCCGTCTTCTTTCCAAATCCAGCCGCCTGCATATGCAGTGACAGGCCTTAGAAGCATGACCTTCGGTCTCACAGTCCACCATGATATCATGGTACATAGACTTCTCCTACGCTTCGCTGCTCTAACGCTCATGGACAAGTACCGACCAACGCTGGCTCAATTCGCTTTGTGCCCGAAATGGAGCAAACCACCGTGATCCCATCTCTTCCCTGGGCTCTCGTCTCGTTGGGTCCTGACTCCTGCACGACTAATACATACGCATGGCTCACCATAGGACAAGGTTGGAGGTGCCCTTATTACTCTTAGCCTCTCACACAGTACCTATAGTCTTGACTCTTGAGTCTTCACTGCTGGAACCCCCCGATGTCCATCTCCGAGTTCCTCTCCATCTCCCCACTCTTCTTGACACAACGCGACGCGATCCCAAGCAATGATGCACCCTCCTTGTCAGGTTTGTCTCGCATCGTCCCGGTCAGTTTTCTTCACCTTCATGGCGGCTGTCGGCCGATTGCCATGTCTTCGTTCCGCCTGCGGAACCAGTCCAAGGCGCAGCAGGAATACGGATAGATCCATTGCGATTTCAAAAACCGGCCACTTAGCTGGCCTGAACTTGTCGACTCATGAGTCGTGCGAATTGACGATCGACTATCGGTCGCCGGTCCCCTCTTGGTCTCGTCATGTTCAATATTGACCGGCCCGCAGAACGACAAGCGGGTTGTCGTCTCTCACTCTTCACTCTTGTTAGTGTAGGAATGGCTGCTTTTCTTGCTCACTTCGTCTCAAGCAGTCGAGGTGGAGTCTCCGCGATACAACATGGCCGCGCATGACTTGAGCCCAAGGACTCAGGGAGTCGGCGCACAGTCCAGCTTTCTCACCAAGCCAACCTCTGGTCAATGCCAGAAGAAAATCTACGACGACGAATCACAACTCTTGACACCATCGTGGGGTGGTGTCGTGCGGGTAGCGACTTGTAGTACTTGAGGGTACCTTGCTGTCACTGGCAAGGGTGGTCGGTCGTATTGCGCTAGCAACGACCAGGGCTGATGGAGGAGTCAGGAGGGGCCCGGCGAGATGTGGGAGCGGCGGACAGGACGTTGGCGAGAGAGAGACTGAGAAAGGCACCCATTCTCTCTCTCTTTCTTTCTCTCCTCGTCTCTCTGTCTTACGTCGTCTGTTCACGCGTACTCACTCTCCTCTCTGGTGCTTCTCGACGAAAGTGAGCACCGGTCCGTATAATTAGTACTGCACCACTGCATCGTAGGTGGAGGAGGGAGATGCTGCCAAGGGTGCCCCGAAATCCACTTGTCATCCACCGTCGACAAGAGCCAAGCTGACAGCGATTCGGTTCGTGTCTTTCTACATACACAGGATTCCATACGGAGTACCCTCGTCGATACACGGTGACTACCGGGCTCTTTAATTAGCATGGCCTTCCTGACGGCACTGACGGCACAGATAGGGACTGCCCTGGGGGCGGAGGAGCAAGGAAGCTGGCAGCAGAGAGAGCATCAAGACCCCGGCTGTCGTCTTGGCACAAGTCGGTGCGACGTGAGACCTCACCACCACTTCGCTGCTCACCTCACATCCCACACCGTCCTTATCCGCCCGTGTTCGCCCATGTTCACCCATCCATGGTGTGGGTACTATGTATTCGTACGGAGGCTACTGGCAGGCAGGCAGACAGACAGTCTTGTTTCCCATACTCCGTATGAAGTATCCGTACCCCCATCCCATGGGCCATTCATTTTCGCACCTTGCTTGAGGGGAGCTACCCAATGTGCTAGGGGACCTTAGTGCGTATGGGAGAAACATCGATTCTCTGCATGTCTTCCCTCATTCACCTCGAGACCCTGTCGCCGTCCCGACTTCCCACCCACTAGCAGCGCAGCTATCTGCAGATATGTATATGCATATCCCGCCCCTCGAAGCGGCTGGCCCCATATCCTGTCGTCCAACGACCCTCTTTCCTTTCCCACTTCGTCTCGACGACAAGCTGGTTCCCAAATAAGACCCAGCGATCATCTCTCCACCCCATCTCAGCCCCTCCATTCCACGTCGGCTTTCCCAGTGATCAGCCTTTCCCTTCTTCTTGAGCGGACCGCAACGGTCTTGATCTTCAGAAGACTCTTGCCCGCTTCCCTGTCTCATCCATCTCGACATTGGTCACTCGTCCTCGAGGGAGATATCATTTGACTGCCGTCCTTTCCATTCCTTTCCTCCCCGCTCGACCTCACACACCGTTCGACATCCTATAGCTTTCACTAGACTCGACGATTGATCGACAACCCAGGCTGTCCAGATCCTATCCTGTCGCCACCGCATCACACCTCCGACGAATCGCTATAACAACAACTGGCCACCAGAATCTCGCTGATTTTGGCATGGTCTCGCTAGTGACGAGCCATGGATTCTACTTCTCTCTCAATGGTATCGGACGAAGGGGACCTCTCGTGGTCGGACAACCACAGTAACTCTTCAGACGACAACATGCAAGACGACATGCTGCTTCCACACCCACCAACCTCCCAAACGGCAACGGCCTGGATGGCCTCGGCCAGCATTCCTCACTCTTTCTCCGGGCAGCCGTCTCCCGTCAGCGCCGCCATGGATATTCCCCATCTCGAGCCGTCCAGCGACCCGACAATGGTACACTCCGCATCCTCGTCCTGCACCGATTCCTGGAGCACTGGCCACGCCGAGACGTGCGATGGAGACGATGCTGACAACGACATTGTATGGGAACAGGAATCGGACGACGCTTTCGCCATCATACCCAAAATTGAACCCATGGACGACGATGATCTAAAGCTGGGCGATGTCAAGGAGGCTCCATTAGCGCAAACAGAAACCACCTTGGTATCGGCCACAAACTCACTGAAGCAGAAGCGACCCCGAGGAAGACCCCGCAAGCATCCTGTAGCATCCATCATCAACCAGAGTAAGGTGACCAAGGGTCGATCCAAGACGGGCTGCATTACCTGTCGGAGACGGAAGAAGAAGTGTGACGAGGCGAAGCCGAGATGTGAGTGTCACTGCCGTATGACTGCTTGGGACTTTCTCCTGACATGTAAGCAGGTATGAATTGCGAGAAGAATGCTGTCGTCTGCGAGGGCTATCATGAGAAAAAGCTTTGGAGAAGCGGCAAAGAAAAGGCAACCATTGGTAAGTGCTCGCTTATGAACCCGGCAAATATGTTGGTGGTCTAACCCGGAAGAAGATCACGTTGGGGATGAGGAGTCGCTCGTTTTCACCATGCAACCTCTGTTCAACGGCGTCGACACGATCGAGGACAAGATATTTTGGAGACACTACGGCGTCCATCTCAGCAACGTTCTGACTGTTGAGGGAGAAGCCAAGAATGCTTTTAAGGACATTATTCTTCCTTTGGCAAACCTTCACCAGGGCGTGATGCACTCGATTCTGGCCATGAGTAGCAAACACATTGACTTTGATACACCGTACGGCGCCAA